TTTCTACTATGTAATCACGTGACATCTTTGCAAGTTTCGATTGACGAATCCAAAAAAACTGACTGAATCCATTACAGACGAAAGAGTCTTGCGGAAAGAAGTTTGACTTCAAAGGAAAGGGAGCGGAAATGTGAAGTCAGTCAATCATATTTGTTTTACGCGTCACAAGAAGGCATCACGTGTTCAAATCAGAAAACGTAACTATCCTTGTTCCATCTTTCCCCACAGAAATACATGTCACTGTCAGGATTTTATTTGAGTTATATGTAATGACAAACACTATTGGCTTACTTTTACAAACAGTATAAAGTTTCTACATCCATCAACATTTGCATGTACTAGATTGACCTGTCTACATTCAGAATGCTTGATATCCTTGTTTGACTTATCCGTTAGTTAGTTTGATTGTTAATGAACTAACATCTGTGCAGCAGCGAGGGTTCTATAAAGATGGTTCCTATGTATCTAATTGTGTATCGAAAAGTGATATTTGCTTGTGTGTACTTTCTACCATGTCCTCAGTTGATGGGGTAAAATATTGATAGTGCCACCGCACTAAAAAATAAAAACTTGGACATGGCAGTATGACATCCTACCCGGTAACGTTAAAGCAAGAAAGTGCCAACATGTCAGCAGAATCACAATCTGAACTAAAATTCAATAAAGTTAGGACAAGATATGTACAAAACAAAGATTTACACGGACATTCATGAAAATGTACAAGTAGAATGAGACCTGGTGATCCTGAAGAGTGACGGTCTTATGCTTTATCGACGACACCCGTCACGTTCAATCCAAGTAAGTAATGTCACGTTCTCAAAGGAGAACAAGTATACCACAACGGAACCAATAGGCATACTAACGAAGTCCGGGTTGAATGATTTTGGTATATCACGGCTTGCTGTCAAGACCAATTCCTTTCTTCAATTGAGCGGACACTCAGCGTGAAGGCCAATCGCAGAAAGATAAAGACAGATATTTGGAGGAAAGGTCTTTAAGAAACATTGAGGAGATCAAGAATCTGAATATTATTTGAATCTCACGAGCATATCATGAAAACATCAAGTACAGTTATCCTGCTGTAGGGCCGGACGTACTCACTAAAGTGACTTGTGAGGTGTATCACCGGTTCCTTCCGTGTGGAAATGAACCGATGAGTTGCAGTCACTTTTTATCAAACATTGTCGCCTATAGGGAAGGACATCTACTATTTTTTATCGAGAATAAATCATACTGAAGCACGCATGTGCTTTTTTAGCAACGGAATGAGCCGGAATTAGATATTTTAATGATCGTGTGGTGCACCTCACGCGCCCTGCCTTCTAAAGTGACAATTGCTAACGTTTTAGCTACCTCGTCATAATAACTATTAGTAATTGCTCAACCCCACCCCCCCCCCCTTTACCCCACACACAAAAACAACCTTATCGCAGTAACGAAACCGTCAGAACAATACATGTTATTTTCTCAACGTTCCGTTTATCTACTGGCTGATTTCTGGCTGTTTTTATAGTGTTTAGTACAGAATATCTTAGTCCTCTCACACGTTTAAGAAATCATATAGCGTATGTATCTATGGATGACAAAATTCACATATCAAAACGAGTATTGAAAATAGATAAATCACATTTTCCTTATTTTGACTGACCAAATGAACCTAGCTGTCGAAATCTGTAGTATCTTTTTAGATATTGTTTACGAATCCGATTTAAGTCCTATAACGTATATACGATTGTCTTGTGTTTGTAATTTCTCGCCTTTGATACGACAGAACATCATCGTACAAAGCATGGTACGACCAGAGAAAACAAATGGAAATCCAGTAAACAACTCCTTGGCCGTCAATTATACGTTAATTTGTCAATATCATCTTTTATACCTCAGTGACGTATAAGATAGAGGGATAAGAAACTAAACCCAGTGGTGACGTCACTGGCATTAGGTTTTGTGTTCACTAAACCATGGAATCCCCTCGTCTCCATGTTGCTATCTTATCAACCTATGCCCAAGTCTGATCGGCCTGACCACAACCATTTTTGGCGGGTAAAACACTAATAAATCAAACTTATCATTTAAAAACTTACATGAGTCGATTGTTGATGAGTTGATAAAAGTTTTCTATTTATAGCTGGTTTTCTTCATACTAAATACAATATGTTGTAATGCGAAACTCGCTCTACCTAAGCTATTTCCTGGTATTTATCCAGAAACAAACACATTCTATGTAGTTTAATTCAAAACTTCAAGGATATCAATACATCTATGATAACTTTTTAAGTTCAATAGAACGAACTGCAATTTATTTTTCTCATTAGGAAGATAATAAGACTGGATTCAGTGTGCTACACAATCAGTGTCACGTGACACACTGACAAACTGGCGCGAGACTGGCTTACCGACTTATATCCCCTTAAATCTCTGTTTAATTCGTTGCTTGATCTCTTTATCATAACCAAACATTATTCGCGTGCCAAACACGAATTTTAGACCCTCTTTCATGTGCGTCTATAAATAACCACAGAGGGCGTGGCTTGGAATGTGACGACATACAGTATCTCAAGCAATGGACGGACTGGCTACAAAGGCATGACTGATGGTTTGTTGATAGACATTAAGGTACCTAATCTGTAAAATACACCAACAGTAACCATTTGTGAATCAACTCTAGGAATGTTTTATGCAAATATATCAAAGTCGGTTGAAAGTCATCTTCCTCAAAACTATTGATTTCATACAATAATAAGTCGAAAGTTGGCGAGTATGTTCATAACTGATAGTTCCATTTGACCTTAACTTAACAGTAAAGAATTTAATGGTAAGAAAAGCCGTCAACTTTCTGTATGATAATTATAGCCTATATCGTACCTTGTACCCTTTCTGGAGTCAATCATAACAAAAAATTAGTATCTACACAGATAGAATTTTAAATAAATCACCGAGGTCGTCCCCATAGGTATTTCACTCAGTGTACAGCATCCATGAAACTTACTCCAAAAATAGTTAGACCTATTTTCAGAACATAAAATAAAATATAGGAAGTGACGTCACATATATTACCAGTACTAATATTAACATTTTTAATGAAAGAGATTAAATTTGAACTTTGAACTCTGAGTTGTGCAGGTGACAGATGTGATGGTGTCTGGTGATGTCGGTTTCAGTTGTTTAAATGCTATACATGAAGCTTTCATAGCCATCCTTTTCTATACCGAATTCCACGATACGTCTTAAAGGCAAAACAGGTTCTACGGAACTAAAGACATTGCTGACACTGGATGGAATCTTATCACGACTTTAATTCTCGGTCAAAATGTTAATTTATCAGTTTATAATTCACCCTTCATTTGTAATGATCGTTACTCTCCCATATTTTTAGGATAGCTGTAATTTCGCGGTCTTTTTAACATTATTTTTTTGAGAGCCAATAATTTTTATCTTAATACGGATAGTAACGCCAATATTTTGATCCAGGTGTGATGGCCTTCTTAAAAACAAATGAAAGAATTGATCCACGTTAAACTTACTTGTATGCAGTATACGTCGAAAGATTGGAGTATACTGTTAGTAAATTTCCCGCGTTTTTTGTCAGATAAAGCCACTTTTAACAGAATCATATCTGAGGTGTAAAATGTTAACGAAATTCCTATTAATGTGGAAACACAACCTTCAAGTCCTCGGAAATGTCTTTGTGGTCGTGATTTTCCTGATACATTTCAAAGAAAAGAAAGAAATTTTAACTTGGGACGTCATCAAGTGCAAGTAAGTAAACTATTTAGCTAAATATAGAGTTCATCAGTTTGCGTTTAGGTCCCTTGGTTATCTCGAGGTATATATATATCTAAATTAGGACATACAAAGAAATACTGAACAGCTTTTCACTAGAATGTTTCAAATCTTGATATTACTTTAAATGGTATGGCTAGATTTATAACAGAACCATTTTTTGTTATTTTGAAAAGAAAAGAAGTATTTTCAAATTAATGTTTCATTAAGCCGGTAGCGTTTCGTACAACAGACCCAAGCGACCGGTTATTAAAATCCTTTTCGATGAGACATTTACATACAACAATGTTTACATGTATATATTAATAAGTTAACATGTCCTATCATTACATAAATAGACAGAACGATTCTATCAAGACCTCATCATATTCGGAATCTTAAGCCTAAATATTGTGTCAGGAAATTGTTGGAAGTAATATAGGCAGGTAAACTGTAGACAGGTGTTGTTATTTTACCGCAAATACAGTCACTTGGGTCGCATATAGTAACATGTGGGACCACGATAGCTTATCTGGCAGAATATAGGACTTTAAAATTTCGGTAAAGATCCTAGGAGAGGTTCGATTCTTACTGCTTGTTTATCATGAAATTGAAAAAAAAAGAACCGTCCGCTGTCATCGTGTTTCCATGGACAAGACATTTAACACACATTGCCCTTCGAGGCATACGATACCCCTTCATGTTGTTCAGACAGTGAGGTACCTTTAACATATAATTTGACTTTCAGTCACATTTGCCTAAGCTGGTCGATCATCAACATAGCACCGGGACCCCTTTCGACATAACATGCTTGTGTTGGAGGCTCATGTTGATATCGTGTTAACTTTCATTTCCGATGTTGTCTTTCCTTTTCCTTCGTTCTTTTATATAGTTTCTACTATATATCGACTGTCTTGATTTATGAATGCTGTAAATTACTGTCTCCAATTGACAATCACTGAATCACATATCACATCGGATCATTTATCGATAAATCATTTATCGATAAATCATTAGGATGAATACTAATTTATTTCACGATCTCCTGCACGTTTTTAACAATCCGGTTTTCCATCACATCTCATGCATCCCATTGAGTTAAGATAAATCATTTGTAATTAAATAAAACTTGTTAATAAACGAAATTATACTCCCTCCCATGTGTTAAGTGTGCAACTTCGAATATCGACCGAAAAAACAAAGACAGTTTACATTAAAGAAGCGGTAACATGTGAAAATATACTCCATTTTTTTTATTAGTCAACAAAGAAGTTGTAACGATATTACAGAATAATTAATGAACATATATATTTTGTCAATATGAAAAAGGGAAAACAAAAATTAATGGTATACATTGATGACGTCAATTGTGTGTGTACACATAAGTTGAGGACGTCATGTATTTGGTACAATGGAAACCATATAAATAGACAAAATAAAGTTGATAAGGTGACATCATGGACTCTTCCTCCCCATTCACTTAAATTTCGCTGATACACAATATATAATATTCTTATCTACAAAATAATATGCTATTTGAAAATATAACAAACCAAACCCGTGTCTTGCAAATGGAAGAACAGTGTAACTTTCATTTCAAATAATTTAATGTCTTATCGTTTAAAAAATATCAATATAGCTATATATGGATTTTTCCTATATTTCGTAAATAACATTTGTTCAGGACATTTCTAAAGTATTGATATCTTATTTTTTCATTACTAACAAGCCCTCGTAATTATATGTCATAAAATCAATATTGCGATAGTTTACCTTATGTTTTTTGTCAAGAAAATTCACAGGACTGTCGATTCAAAAGAAAATGGTGTAAAATATTTATCATTTTTGGCAGAAAACTGAGGTTAGGACAGGTGTCCCTAATGTTTAATGCTTTTTCATACTTTGGTTAACAGTTAACTTCAAAAACCAAGATTAGACAATAAACACACTTTCAGGTGCATTATTAATAATAAAACTGTATATTCATATTCAGGTGTAACCATAAATTGTAAATGTATCTTTAGGTGTAATCTTGAATTGTAAATGTATCTTTAGGTGTAATCATAAAATGTAAATTTATTTTCAGGTGTAATCGTAAACAGAAAATGTATCTTTAGGTGTAATCATGATTGAATTTGAAATGTATCTTCAGGTGTAGTCATCAATTGTAAATGTATCTTTAGGTGTAATCTTGAATTGTAAATGTATCTTCAGGTGTAATCATAAAATGTTAATTTATTTTCAGGTGTTATCGTAAACAGAAAATGTATCTTTAGGTGTAATCGTAAACAGAAAATTTATTTTCAGTTGCAATAAAGGTTGTACAATGATAAGTACACTCATAATAACATTTGGCTAGTGTAACAAACAAAATACTGTTTAAAACGGATTTCAAGCCCTTTTTTATAACATTGTCACGCATAAAAATATTCCGTTATGAACTAAGGTGTTTATAACACGTATCAAGTGTCTTATAGCATATATTTTGAAGACAAATACACGAATATGACACATTCCATTCCCATCCTTCCCGCAAGCATACAATACATGAGCTTATGATCAATACTGTATGACGTCACACTGATTAAGAGGGAAATAGTTACAACCTAACAAACAAAGTCCCAGACTATTTTAAAATATATTTCATTTACGTTTTATAGCAAACTATTGCAGTATCAAACAATATTTAAAAATATCGACTAAAACAATTAAAATGAATTTCTCTTTAAAGAAAATGATCTTTAAATGTTATTTGTTTTACTACGGGGATGACGCTGAGGTATAATTTTAAGTGTTGTTTATGTCCGAATTATTTTCTAGATAAGGTTGAAATCAAAATGTTTTAAAGAAACAAAAGTTACAATTATCAGTAACTGTTACGTTAAAAATTCCGTTTATAGATAAAGTTAAACTAGTAAGATTTAAGAAAATAAAATACTATAATTATTCATGTCAGTTAGGTTAAAAATCCTTTTCTAGGTAAGGTTGAAATCACAAGGTTTTATTTGGAAATGAAAGTTATAATTATTAGCGTTCGTTCCGTTCATAAAGCATAAGGTTTAATTGGAAATAAATGTTAAAAGTAGTTGTGTTCCTCGGTCCTTTCCTATGCCATTAAACACCCATCGATGTCCCATTAATCAAACTTCTACTGCCTAGTCGAGACATTACGTTTTGAATACACCAACTTCTTTATGGGCATGATGCTCTTAAGATTTTCACATAATCTCATGCAATTACAAGAGGATTTACCTACAAATAAACGACTATCCAAACGTATTGATTATGAATGAATAGCTCCGATTTTTCTTCATTATTGTCAACGATGGATTCCAAGTTTTTAGAAATTGGTGTATCGCAAATGGTATTCAATTCTATTTGCAAGTATCGTAAAAAGCACATAAAGAACCATTCTTTAATTGACATGCATCTAATCATATCTTTCACTTTCGTGCTGATGAAATGTAACCACGTGAACTATCTAATAGAAGTATTTGATATTTTCAGTACTAACGTTCTTAGTTTCAAAACATCAAACCACAGAAACAGGAATCTGCAAAAATCTGTTTGTCTTGTAAATTTACGATGAACTGAACCAATAACAAACACTTGAAGGTTTAAAGTATGTCTCGAATATCATCGTCATCGATATATTAACAATAAATACAGGTTGTTTCAATTTTGGCTGATTCAGATCCTCAATAAGACATATCAAACTTCTTGTTTCACAAACTACGTCGTCCAAAACAATCAATTTTATACCGATTAGTGTTCAGAGAACTCATGATGAATTTAAGGCGTCTGGCACTAAACATAGACTACACCCAAGTAATGACAGTTTTTGAGCCATAATAACTGTCATACTAAAACGTAATTATGTATTGTATGCCCAAGTAAAAATGTGTTTTATAACTCGATAATGAAATTTTCTCAGGTGTCATTACGTATTTACATAGACAACCATATCGTAAATATAATGAGGAAGAATCACATGATATTTAGCTATCCTAACTTTCTGATAATCCTTCTTTACCTGGCCTGGCCATACAGATACATTTAGCTATTTTACACATAATTTGAGACATCGTCATAATTTTGTAACAGCTTTTTTCGAACATAACTATGGAAATATGGTCAATCGAGACGGTTATAATCATATTTGTACACTAGAACAAAAACGGACATACTTCATTTGTGATGGTTTGAACATCGCATTAGTTATATAACAGGATTTTCGGTAAAAATACTGAATATTTGTTTCCACAGTAACGTCTACAGATGAAAGTATTGTAAAGCAAACGCTTAACATTTAGAAAACAAAAATGTAATATATACATTGGTAGATTTATATATATATATATATACATATATATATATATAGATTATATACTTTATATATATAGATATTACAACAGTTTATATATAATATATAACACTTAATCACACAAACTCAAAACACAATATATCTTTAGAAATGAAGACGAAGAAAAATGATTTCGGTAAATATTCTTGAATTTCATATCATTATAACACCATCAACATTCATTCAACCATAATTGTGCAGTGAGAAAATTGAGATAAAAACAAAGTAATAAGACAACCACGTGCATGTATAACCGAAATTCAAGAATGTTTACACCGTAATAAACACTTTGGTCAATACATATCTCCTGTATATAATTCAAACACAGGACGTAAGGTATATCATCAACTTTTCGAATTTCTGCAGATTTGAAAACTTTTCTACAGTTTTATATGAAATGGAGGCATTATATCATAATATAAAAAGTATAAAAACACCGATCCAATGCTACGTTGTTGTACTGGATCTCTTGCACCAGACTTTGTATCATAATGCTTATTTCTTTTAGCTAAAATATCAACAAAAAAATCTATCTCGGCCACAAGTCAATCGATCGCTTCCTAACTTTATTTTGTGTGAAAATGAAAATAATTCCAGAAAAAAAGTTCGAAAGACATCAGAAGTGAACATGGAAAATTTTGACAGCAGAAAAATTGCTCAAACCATGAATTTGTGAACATTTTTGAAGATCAATACATGTATAAGAAAAAAAATTATTACAAAAATACATTTTAAACTTGATCCTATGTCCACTTTCCATATGTTGACCTTCTGTCTTAACCATTTATCCTAAGTCTACGTTTTCTGATCAATGTTTTTCACACTACCTTTAAGTTTTGTCCTTCACACAGTTCTTAACCAACTGATTATCTACTAAATCGTCATCACAAATTTAAAGCAAAATGAGCATGGAACACAAAGGTTTGTTGTGTTCAATTTTAACTACGCTACAAATCCCTTTCATCCCTAAAGACCACTTGTTGTAGTATCCATGACAACGGACGGTTAATTCCATTCATTGAACGTAGGGGCCACAGGGCTGACTTGAGCAATGTCTTTGGTTTCACCGCCCCACAGCAGAGAAAGCATGAAGTGGTCGCGTAAAAATGTAACCTGATTCAAAAAAGTTACGAAAATATATCCCCGCGAAATTGATAGTCGGTGGTTACCGTTGTATAATGTTAACCGGACTAAAATTTGAAGTACCAGATAAACTGGTATGTGATCTGGCATCATTCCACCAAATCCTGTTCGACTTGAAGTTTTGTCAACGTGTTCTGGAATTTTCTATATCATAACGTATATAATACCAGGAGCACTGAATGAAAATAGGACAACAGAAGAGAACGATTTTGTTGAGTAAAAGATAGATAAACCCAAGTCGGTGGGAAAAGTCCGGAAGAATGAGAAGGAATATTTGGAAGCGAAGGGTGCTCGATTACGAAGTAATATCCCGTTTCCATGATGCTGCGAAATGATATCCCGTTTTCATGATGCTCCTGGATTCCGGGAACATTGAAACTATCACAGAAAAAATGGTCGCGCCTTCAATAGCGTGTTTCTTTAATTTTAAGTAACGACTGCAATAGTGAAAATATTAGGGGTGCATTGCCAAATAATTACAAAATAACATGAAAAGTTGCCTTAAGTTCTTTTGAATTCTACAAAGCGAGCAGAACTGAAACAATAAATAACATGAATGCAGATATTCTTGTACCTGGCTAAATAACATCTAGTTATTGGCTTTGATTGAAAACTATAGGGTAATCCAGATGACACAGATCATTTTCAAGCAAGTAAGCAGTCAGTTGATAAAATTGAATTTTAAAGTACAAATTCAAACAGCTTGAATTTGATAAATATTTTTACCTATTTTTTCAACCGCATGCTCTACAGTAGTTGATAATAGATCAACGATCTCGACTTGCTTTGATAAAGTGCTGATACGTCTATTTGAACAGTAACAGTTACACACCTTACATTTCTTAAGAAGAGCCTTTTTCCTTTTGATCAATGCTATTTACAGCCAAATGTATATATTCATGCTCATCTGAAAAATCTCTGAACTAAATTTCACAGAATACTTAAATCTGAGGCAACACTTATGGCATTGTATTATATCTCTTTTGATCTTATATGGCTGGTGGCGCCTTCTTAGCAACTATCTACTGCTGACTTCACTCATGGTTTTGCAATCATTGTATCAAATTTTATCAAATTTGTTTCGATGCATATCTATCTGGCATTAAGATTACACCTTCATTCGGGAAATATCGATATAACAAAACAAAACCAAGCTAAAATAAGAAATTCAACCCAGATATACTTCACTGAATGGGGAATGGTTGTCAACGGGTCGAAACTGCTTGACTACGGTCTAAAGGACAACAATAGTGTCATTATTGTAGGGTTGTCGGAATAGATATTTGAAGGTGTTCAGAAAGTGTTCGTTGATACTAGTACTTCAATATCACAACACCAGTACTGGTCATAACGAACCTATACTCCATCAAAACTATGTAACACAATGCAGCAGGCATTTTGCTTAAAATATGGCAAATGACCTCTGTGGTCCTCACAATGGCCCTTGTTCGTATTTGAATGTGTATCTCAAGGATTCGACACAGGCTTCAATTCTGGAAGTTAACAGGAAATTTCGGAAGGTCTGCTGAAGAACACATTCTCTTGACATTTTCGGAACGGAATTTTGGTGAGGTGTAATGGTCATTTCGGGTGGTGACCATAAACTACAGGATGGAGTGATGTTATGGTCACGGTGAGGCAGTGACCATTGAGGTAAATGCGCACGATGGAAGAGAGGTCAAAGTGCAGGTCAGGTAAACTGACGGTTGAGGCATGGTGACCAGGTACTGCAATAGCTTACAGGTGCTATCGAGCACACCTGAATGTCGCGTTCAGTCATGGCAATGGTCACCTGAGGTAGAATGACCATTAACCGGACGATGGGGGTTATGGCAGATCACTGGGGGCAGCGATCTTGACGGTTCGGTAGAGTGAACAATAGCCAGACGATGAAATATGAGAGTAGCCACAGGCTTGACACTGGAGAAACATCAGGGTACTAGACTGATGACGGTAGAGAAAATAAATACTGCTGCCATATTTTTTATTGGTGTGCTCCGTTCTGTACGGCTATACTGAGTAAAAGTATCTGTAAAACGACAAAATGCTGTATTAAATTAAACACAATAATTCCAATAATGTACCAATTAATATAATCGCACTGCTTTTCATCAATTCTGAAAATTCATATCACGTAATTCTAACAAGTAGTTTTTTGTGATTGACATTGACATTTTCTTGCGATTTCCATCTTCTGTTAACTTAATTTACTGTGAAATTACAATTTCATGATGGATTAATTTTCGTTGATTTCATAAGTATTCTTAATCCATGAATTCATATGTCCCCGAACTGATATGAGTAGTTTATTTAGTAATATTTAACCACGTAATAGTGAATTTTTGGGAAACCCTGAAAATAGGAAAATTTGTTTTAAATAATATTGTCAGTGTTCAAAACAAGCCTACCTTTATTTCTTGAACATTTTGAAAAGTGAAGACTTTTTGTTGGAAGCGGGACCCATCATCATAGGGACTTGGTTTTTATGAGTGATGTTTATCTGAAAATATTCAATAGCAGATGTTTAATTTCATACTACAAAAATAATACAAAATGTAATACAGTACTGCAAGCATTATCTGAAATATTACCTTAACAGCAACACAACACAACAAAACAGCACTATTATATATGAAGAAACTGACATTTCGAAACTTCACCAAGCATCTCGCACTTGCTAATATTCTAATGTTTTCCATAGTGACCATGTTGTTCCAAGCAACATTACTGTATTGTACCGACGGTAATGAAGCCATGTCTCTTGTATGTCCTAATTCTTGTAAGTTCTAATAGCTTAATCTATCTTGCTAAGTATTAACTCTGTTAGGTACTTACTGTACACGGAGGTTGTAACCATGGCTCTCCATCTATTTGCATGGGGAATCGTTTCCTTGTCCTACAATCGAAACCAAAATACTAAGTATTACAGACGATTCAGTGTACTCGCGGTTATATATTGCTTTAAAATACAATAACTTGAAAAATAGAGCAGTGTTCCCTGAAAACAACATGTCTGTTTCCTATTTCATTCAAGTTTGCGAAACTTTTGACTTCAGCTGCTAATATTGCGAACATTTTGGAAGGTTTCAAGTCACTGCATGATAATTTCGTTTGTTACTTATTTGAATACTTAATATGACCGAAGACTGAAATACTCGCAATATAGTTTCATACAGGTAACCATGCATACTCAATCTGATATAACACCTTGTGAACGGTGACTTCCTGTAGAAGAGACAATAAAGTTGTATTCAGCGACCACCTCACAGATCACCAAGTTTTTTTCTCATCGCTGATCATCACTAACAAGAGTTTTCTCACCTGATCACAACCTGTCCACATTGAGCAAGCCGCCGACCTGAGGCTCGAAGTCCAGCGACTACCTGACCCATGTGCATACTGTTCTCCAGCCCGACCACCTCGATCATGCTATCGCCGACATCTACGAAGAAAAAAATAATAATAAGGGTAAGCGTTGCATTCCTACTTCTTTCATCACTATTTAGAAACCAGAAGATGACTTTAAAAGATGATTACGGAAAGAAAAACAAGAGGCCCATGGACCTTAACGGTCATCTGACTACAAAAAACATCAGCATGGAGAAGGGTTATTTTTTCTACTTTGACTGAAATCTTACTAAGAAGCTGTTTTTAACGATACAGATGGTAGTTTAGGTGAGAAGTAGGTAACTGTAACAAGTGTTACACTTTTTTCACAGTTAAGTTTGAGCTCAGTCCCACTGGTGAAACTTGAGAAGTAAGATATAGGTGTTGCACAGGTAAACCATGATTGCGCAATCATGTTAAAAATAGCCTCCATGACTGCCGTGTCGAAGTTTTGAGAAGGTCGAAAAATAACAGCACTTTGTTCTTTTTTTTCCTTAACACTCCCACTAATTTTTAGCTGAATGGCACAAGTGGGACTGGAGAAAACGTTTAAAATGTTTTTTCAAGATGGCGGCCACGACTGCCTTCTTGGATCTAAGACATACTCGAAAAATGACAATATTGGTCAAGACCAGTTCAGGATCAATGAGCTCAATCCTATTGGGGAAACTTTGGAATTGGTTAAAATGTCAAATGTTTACGCAAGGCGGACGACGACGATCTTGAACGATGATAAAACTACATAATATATACGCGAAACAGTCGGTAGATCCATCAAACAAAATTCTGTAATATTCTTAACATTTTTTTATCTTTCACAATCGTAAAAACCCTTGTATTTGACATTCTTTAGAAGACATCTATGTTATATCTAACAAACAACTCACAGATAGTGACAAAACACTACTACCTGAAGGTTTGAATTATACCATCGTAGCAGACAAAATTCCAGTTGATGATTTTACTGTAGCAACAGAACAGTTACGCTGAGGCTGATCAACTGAGATCACAGGTGTCTTAAAATCTTCAAAATTACCAGTAAACAGCACATCAAAGTAAGAACGCATTGCGTTTAAGCAATTGAGCAAGGATAAATCTATCATGATTTTACCAGTAGACAAGGGGAAAGCCACAGTCGTGATGGAGAACAAAGTCATGGTTATGCTCGAAGACATCAAAACATATGAAAAACACAAGAACAAGTCTACCCAAAAGTTAAAAAAGCTCCTGGTAGCTATCTTCTCAAAACTAAAATAAGAGAGTAAGGTCACCGAATTACAATATAGACACTGGTATCCAACTGCACAAACAAAGCGTAGCCGAATTCACCATAGTGCAACGTTATCATCTGGTGTATTTTTTGGTCTTTAATCTGTTTACCATCTCATCAAGCTATCTTCGACCTTTGTGTACATAGGATTATAGAGCAGTGGAAACAGTTGGTCGATTCCGTACCATCTCGTATACTACGTACTTCAGTGCTAGTACGCTCCACATAGGTCATTTGTCTGATGAAGGTGACCCTGTAGTCATCGAAACTTTACACTCAAATCTTCTACTGGTTGTGTTATAAGAATTTCTATTCAATTGACATTACCAACCAGAAGAAAATGTTCCAAAAAATCTGTGTCGACCTATTTTTAATTTCTGAACAAGCTGTGGTCTAAACTTTAGTCCCCTACCACCACTGACGAGTAAAATAAAAACGAAACTGCTGTATCACGTAATGCATCATTAGGCGTACACTGTATCAAGGAATAAATTAAAAGTTGCTATTAATTAGTGTTTTTTTTTGTTTTGTTTTTGTAAATCCAATCGAGAAGATGAACTAATGTTTAATCACACTAAACATACATGTATCCAAAATATCAAACATTCCTTTGTTGCAGAGGAAGGGGAGATTAGGGAAATTTTTAAGCCCATCAATGTGTCAGATAATGCTAACCTGACCAACCCGCATATTGTAATAAGCCCATACTAGCATTCTCCGCATTGTGTTGATCATGGTGCTGTTGAGTTGAAATAGAATTGCAGAAACGGTAAGAAATGAATATCGTAACAATGAATGTACCCAGTTCAAGAAGAGCTGTTTCATTTCACGATTTTCACATCACAATAACTTCAAAATCATTGATACCAATAATGGGTATCAACATCCTGAGAAAGCCACTAAAACATTTACATTTCATCTTGATCAATTTATTCAATCTTTCATAATTCACTTTCTCACAACGACGGGGAATTAATTTGCTGATCGTTGTTGTAAAAAGAAATAACTCGATGCTTAAGTTGATATACTTACTATCTGTTAATAATATCAAAGAATTAAGCCTTCTTCAAGATAAGACCTGTAATGCTTTAACGCTATAAGTCGTTCTCCGATTTGTCTTTTTTGTTTTGTTCTTCCATACCCATATTTATGTATGGATTGTATCATGTACATGTACTTATAAGCTGTAAGGCCTAAAGTCAATAAAAATGAATCAATTGGTAAGGTCAGAGATATAAATAACTAAAGCGCATTTTTCATACAAGTCTATCTTCATTGATAAAAAGTTAAATGTTTCCATTCAAAACAGGAAATAATTACGAAACGTTTACAAGGAAGAAGGCAAGAAGGCGTAATCCTTTTTTATCATTTTTGGCTGACGTTTTGACAGTGATGACCCTTATCTAACTAAAGTATCCTGTGACGCTATTGCTAAATTCCATTAGAGGCCAACATGCGTCCTTTATACAACATTCGATGTAAATATGACCATATCCCCGCCTAATGCAACATAGGTCAATAGCCTTTCTTCAATTCGTTGGACCTTCCCAGTCAGAAATGGATTAAAACATTAAAATCAAAGTTAACATATTTCTGTCTCATTTACGACGCAAGAAAAATAAAACGCGAAAATAATAAAAATTACAAATCGATATATCGAAATATATTAAGTGTAGTCATAGTCTATGATTACTTCAGAAATAAAAACCTCAGAATAATCGATAAAGAGATCATAATATATTCAGCAAAGCAATTCCTCTATGAAGACTTTTAGAAAAAGTTTCTTCTAGTCAATCAATAGATCTAAATAAATTAAATGAAGCAATAGGCGATGATGACTTTTAGAAAACTTTTTATTGGGTCTGATAATCAATTTCAAAAAGTTAATGCACTGTAGTATTGATCGGCATTAATACACTGGGCTCATCGTCGTGGATTAGGCTGTCAGCGCTCAGCTCCATTGTCATATCAATACACAGGTCTTGTTTTATGTGTAAAAGGCAGGCAAGACGTTGATGACACTAGGCTTTATCAGGAAAATCAACACCAATAGAGCCTTTCTACTAGATTAGGCCGCAGCAATAAACCTGGCCGTGTCTTCTCTGCTTACTTAGACACGAAGAAAACATGAAAGACAATGAAATTGTTACAAGGTATTGACTGTACCATTGACCCAGAACTGTCGCACCCGTTATTACAGATTTTGTTGCTTTGGTCATACAGGTATTCACAGAAATACTTAAAGGCAAAAATGGCAGTCCGATTGCTCCCTTTCATTAGCTCGAGGACAATGGACATTAAAAGAAGCACTTCTGGCAGGCTGACTAGCAATATATGTACCAATCGTTACCTCTGCAGGACTGCGTTTCCCCATTCAAAAATAAATGGCTCTTATCGACACTAATTTTTGTAAAATAAAAAATCGAAAAAAATATAAGCAGTTAACGTCTTTCGCGTGATTGTTGATAAGCTTTCCTTTTTAATCAAAATATGTGTATAGCAAAATGGGTAATATTTGTTTTTCACAAAATAACAGATCATACCGAGGATGCATTATATTAACAAAATGTACTAAAGCTTCCATGACATAATACATGATATTTTTGTTTGGTTTCATGTTTTTCTTCACTTTTCAAGCGGCGTCAGTTGTCAGAGTTAAGGCCTTTGTCGATTCAATAATTAGTTAATTAATCTATTAAATTTGTTTTTACAACTTATCGGTATTTTTTTGTTTGTTTACGAGATATTTTAAAGAGGTAAGTATTCAAACAATAAACAATATGCCTTTGTTTCAATAAATACATTCATGTCATATTTCTAAATACATTTATAAATTATTTTTTAATCTTCAAATAGTAACAGTGAGTCTGGTTTTAAAGACTTCTTGTTTTATCCTATTGAAATTGATATCGCAATATGATCAAAAAATGCTACTATGCTTAAGACAGACATCAGCAATGGTACACGCCAGATATACCAGAAATATGGATTCGGTATATATTGTCTGGATGTGAAACACAATCAAACGACGCTACATTATCACACGACAGCGACTTGTACTTAACAGCCGTATGCTATAATTATGAGCATGTCTTTTGATCTACACCAAACAACAATGTCACTGATTGGAGAGCTGCGCAAGAACAAAAAAGCAGCCATATTCATTCCCTGGCGTAACTGATTTACAAAATCATGAAACATTTAAGAAAGGAAACGTTTTGTCAGAAACGTCTTCAATCCTTTCTCACTACAAAGCTGTTCGTCAAAAATAATTCTGCCCCGATTCTTTAATAACCATCTAGTTGCCATGGCTACTGTTTTTAATTGAACAAGTCTTTCTATGGCGATGACAATATGACAAACGCTACAATAAACACTCAGTCATTTTGACATGCAGGCTATTATGCTCGATAATAAAATTCTATTTCAGAATAGTGCATAGCCTACCTGTAGCTGTCCATGGTTATTGATTTTAGGACATAGAACTGAGCTAGAGAAACGTTTCTCTACACACGCTGCAAGTCTGCAAATCACGGCCGAGACGACAGTGTCAGCCTCCGTATGTAACTTTAGGAGATTCAGGTCTGTAAATCCACGTGCTTAACTTTAAATGACATATGCACAAGATTTTTATCGACCACATAGTCCTATTGATATTTTCATATTTATAAACATGCGGGTGTTCGTTTATTTTCAAACACACAATCACAAAGAGTTCAGAATACCTTTAAATCCAAAGATGAAATTTGAAGAGAAAACATGGCAATTTCAACTAACGGGAAAATACAGAATGGAATCCCAAATGACCATCGCCTTTTGGTTGCTCTCCCTCATGCACAGACAATTTATTATATTTGAATTTTTTACGGATACTATGAATCAATTGAAACATAATTTAAATAAAACAATGATAAAGAAGACTATTCCAAACATTTATCGTAACATGACAATATACATATTAAGTCATAAATTAACACTAATATAATTATATATTACGTATATCCGCTTCAGGTATGTTCTTCTCTACACAATGACATCTTCTTTGTCTTTTGTCGCAGAGATGGTTATCTACGATCCGCTTTAAAGCAGTTATCACTTTCACATATCTCAAGTTCTGCCTTTATGAAGGTCAATATCAAAGTGTTATAGACCCTTGAATGTCATTCAGAAGTTACCCATAAAATTCTTAAGATAATTACAATCGCAAGAAACAGTCATTTACTTAAATATATCTTGCCCAAAGTCCAAGAATACCTGGCATAATTACAAATTGCACAATCGTTAGATGAACGTGGTGACCTTAAGAACGTTTACACAATCCGCTGTCTGAACAACCTTAAATGTTCCGGACATGATCAGTTGAGGAAATCTACCACAATAACAATCTTCTGAGTAATACTCGTAATGATATAATTCAAGAAAACCTTTCATTAAAACGAATTACTCAATACAAACTATACTATCAAACATCAAAACATGTGACATAAATAAACGAACGATTATCAATAAATCAAAGCTAACAACTTATCTAATCGTAATATAAAACATTTCTACGTTCACCACTATAACATCACGATTTAAGAATATCTACTACAGCAAACGTCTAGAGCTGATCATGTCTTCATACGGCAGATAACATGTTAAATATCCCCCAGTAAGACTTAGAATCTTACAAAATGTTTGGTAATATAACATATGTGATTGCTGTACGTGTCGAGAAGATGGATGGCGAAGAGAGGGCTGCAATGTACAGCGTTCTCACAACTCATGAGTTTTGATGGTGCTGCCATCTATCTTGTCGCCAGGCCTGCAACCATTACCAGAAAAACATGGCGTTCTATTGACAAATTCAGGAACTGCCATGTCAAAAGGATTGATAGAGCTGGAACATCGGGCTGATCACCCTTGTCCATCCCTCACCATAACTACCCTATAGCTGATCTCTCTCCAATCCCTCATCATAACCTTCATCATCCAGTCCAGCAGTTAACTGCTTGCAAAATTGGTAAGCGTCTTCCATTTTGGCATACAAGCCAAACTCCCATAAGACCATTATGTTTTTATATGGTGTGTGAAAGTTATAGTTCATGTTCCATTCTTTTCAATGTGACCAGCGATATGTCTTTCAATTACTGTAAAATCATAAACTTTGGTGGGGAATTTATTTCGCTTAATTCAAAGGTACCCTGAATCAACGAAGGTTTTAAGATATGACCTTTGGTAGTAACTTACTGAATATGGTACAAACTTTTTACAGTTTAAACCTCATTTTATTAAAATAATGTAGCTGTCAGAGAAAACCCAACGGAAGCCTAATATCATTTCTCCTTTCTCAAAATGAATGAGTAAATCTGTTCTTTCATCAATTGTTTATGTAGAACCTCTAGTTAACGGAGAAGTGTGAATTGAGAGTACTCGAAAGTGCAAGCAAGAAAGGGCATGCTTGAAATAATTTCTAGTATAATAGAGTATAGGTGAAAGTGTACAATCTTTTCTGCTTCCCCGGAAAAATAATTTAATAGTTAACAATTCTGACTTCAGCGCTTTAGGTTCTTTGTAACAACGTTCAATTGCATGTAAATTGAAAATGATCCACAAAAATCATTCATACAACTACATCGCGTTAACAAATTAAAATGTAGCACATCATATTTACAAGCTTCGAGTCTGTATTATTTACAAAATCGACAAAATGATTCTTTTATGATAGTAACAGTGCTGTGGTAAATACAAAACAGAATGCCCTCTTTCGAGCAATTAAGAAATCAAGCTTAAAAGTGAATTCAATCGTCTCCTTCGAGTAAAATCATTCATTATCTGAAAGTCTTCTTTAAACGAATATTATGATGGATTAAAATTATCTCCTTTAAGCAGTCAGAGTGAATCTACAAGTAAGTACAATGAAAGACGGCTATGTTTCTTCTAAGAGCACATAAGAAAGGAATGCTAGAAAAGGCAACTAACTGAACTCCTTCAAGTTAGGATGAAAATATCAAATAACGATCTTTTATGAACAGCCATTAATAGAATTTACTGGTCGATTGCAAATATCATCAAAACCACTTCCAGCAAATACAGTGAAGGCATCTTTATCACAAATGGTCTTCACCCAAAAGTGATGATGAAAATGGTCTTTTCCACGAAGGAAACATGAGGTTTAGTAGCCGTTTTCTTAGAAAAATGATCTCTTTCAAACAAAAAGATTTGATAACCTTCTTCAACGAAAATTAAAGGAACATCTAATTACTTTCTTCTGGAAAGGATTCAAGCACGACAGGTGGATTCAATGATATTCTTCCAGCATGAATCAGGAACGATTCAATGATACTCTTCGAGTAAGAATCAGAAAAGATTAAATTATATTCTTCCAGCATGAATTAGGAAGGATTCAATGATACTCTTCGAGCAAGAATCAGAACTATTTAAATGATATTCTTCAAGCAAGTCTTTGCCTTCTTTGGAGAGCTGAACCAGGATGCTTCCATTGTTTCGACTGTTGTTTGCCCGCTGGGGCGAAATGATAGACCCACGTTTCATCCATAATCACAAACCACCGCAGAAAATTAGCAGGATTTGCCTACAAAGGACCAAGTTAGCAAGCGACAAAGTCCGCCTGGTGTGCTCCTGATCACCTGTAAGAAGTCTTGGTACCAAACTGGCTGAGACCTTTCTCATTGCAAGATCTATCGGAAGAATGGAATGTATTCAACTGTAATAGCTATATATCTCTCTATAACTCGGTTGTAAGCTATAACAATACCATGGACTTCATTGACCATATCTTGGGTTGCAACCTGTCAGGACCGGCGTCATGCCCAAGGCTTTGTTTGCCAAGCATAAATTCCATTTTTATGAAGGGTTATCCTTCCCTAGTGTTGCTACCATATCAGTATGGATATCATACGGTGCTAGACCATTTTTTCCAAAAGTCACGTGCCTTTTTTACTTTAAAGTGCTACCTCTTCCACATTAACTGTGTCAAATGACACCAGTCATCAGGTACATAGCCTTAAAAAGTCAGCGAATACAATACAAGGCTCATCACTTATTAATCAGCCCTTGTATTCTTCAAGCATGAATCAGGAAGGATTAATAAGAATTCAATTGTATTCTTCAAACCAGTAACCGATAGGTTCAAAAGAAACTCTTCAAGCAAGAATCAGGAAAGACTCAATGATCTTCAAGCAAGAATCAGGAAAGACTCAACGATCTTCAAGCAAGAATTAGGAAAGACTCAATGATCTTCAAGCAAGAATCAGGAAAGACTCAATGATCTTCAAGCAAGAATCAGGAAAGACTCAATGATCTTCAAGCAAGAATCAGGAAAGACTCAATGATCTTCAAGCAAGAATCAGGAAAGACTCAATTATCTTCAAGCAAGAATCAGGAAAGACTCAATGATCTTCAAGCAAGAATCAGGAAAGACTCAATTATCTTCAAGCAAGAATCAGGAAAGACTCAATTATCTTCAAGCAAGAATCAGGAAAGACTCAATTATCTTCAAGCAAGAATGACATTCTTTCAGCAAATAACAGGAAGGATTCAGTGATATTCTCTACCAAACATGCAATAAGGAATCAGTAATATATTTAAAGCAATAATTATGAATGATTCAACATTTTCTTTAAGCAAGCAATTAGAAATGATTCAATTGTCTAGATGAAACAGAAATGATTGATAGTCTTAAAAATTTCGTTATTTTTGAAGTGATTTCAGAGCTATGATTTGAAGATGCTGGAATCAGCGAATTTGACTACTTGTTTCCTTGGTAACCATGAACATAATGAAACTTAAAACTGCTCTATAGTAAAAACACTCTACTAGACCATTGGACCGATGTGTGCAGAAAGTTCTGTTCAGTTAGCTTGAAGGATTTTTTAGATATACTCCGGAAACGCCCCCAAAGACACAAATGAATGGAACACATAGGTATATACTCCTGCCAAGGCATGAAATATTAATAAATGAAAAATACAGCCATGTCAACAGCATCTGTTCTGTAGTATCTGCCATTGTAACATTGTCCACATAAGTGAATTGGTTTTAAACATTGTCATATTGTATAACATAAATGCAGCCATACAACTCTGAATGTTGTAATGAATTTTATTTGACACTCCTTCAAAAATAGTCATCATAAAACTTACCTTGAACTGAAATGGCTAATTCTGCAGATGACATACTACTCGTGGAAAATTCTTTGTCTTTGTCTTTTTTTGCTGCTTTCTGGGCTTTCCGGCGCTTTTTCTGGCTAGGGTTATCTCCCCATAAGTTGGTGCCACCATAAATGCTTGGAATATTGAGTAGAGCGATACCCTCCAGCCGAGGCCCATTTGCCAGGTCAAGTGAATATCCATCACACTGTTAGAAATATGATTGTTATAGTACTCATCTATTTCTATTACTCTACAATATCGTTATACTTGTTCTATATAAATAAGTTTATTTTGATTAGTAACTTATTGTCTATGCTATTTATTTGCATTATATATCTGTTAATATGTCATGATTTTGAATCAAACCCGGGTCCGGGACCAATGAAAAATATTAACTTAGTTCATTTAAATGTAAGATCTCTTAGAAACAAAACAGCTTTGGTTGAGGCAGAATTTGAAGAGAACGATATAGTCTGTCTTTCTGAAACATATCTCAATCCATCAATACCAAATAATGAAATAGCAATGCACTCTTTTAATTTGAACCCTCTGAGAAAAGATAGAACTACAGGACATGGGGGAGGTGTCATAATTTATTATAAGGATACAATAATGATAAATAGGAGATTTGATTTAGAAATCGATGATGTTGAACTATTATGATCAGAATTCTCAATACAAAACCATAAATTTTTACTTGGATGCTTATACAGACCAGAAAGTAATGTTGAATATTGGAACAAATTAGATGCTACACTAACCAAAGCAACTGATACACCAATGGATGTGGTACTGTGGTGATATAAACATTAACATGTTACATAACCCATTAAATGATTATTTATCTCGTCTTTTAATTAAACATAATTTATCTAATCATATTAATGAACCCACAAGAATTACACCTGACAGTGCCACCTCCATTCATGGCATGCTAACTAATAACCAAAAAATTATACAAAGCACTCCTGTATCTCCACCATTTTGTAGTGATCACTCCTCTGTTCATGCTTCTCATTTTTAGTGTTTAAAAGAATATGTTATAAAAAACTGTTTTGAAATATGAAGAAGCAGACTGTGAAAGTATGAATAATGCCCTTCTCGATATCGATTGGTTGGATTTATCCCATACTCAAGTTTCAAATACATTTAATTCTTCTTTTATTGATGCAATCACGGATCAGGTAAATAGATTCATCTCTACTAAAACTGTCACTGTGCATCCCAATGATAAACCATGGATGAACAACATAATTAGATCCAAAATGAGACACCGTTATCGAATACATAAAAAAGCCAAATTGATAAACACTGCTTATTATTGGGAAAGGTTTCGAAATATACATAATGAGATTATTGACCTGATACATGAGGCAAAGGCAAACTATTAAAGACTTCAGAATTCTTTAGAAGAAAATATTAGTCCTGATAAATGGTGGAAAATAGCTGAATCTATAACTAAGTTTTCAAATAAATCTGCTTCTATCCCTCCCTTACATTCTGATAACCAAATACACCACCATCCTACTGACAAGGCTGAACTTCTTAATAACCACTTTACCAATATCTCAACTTCCTCACCTGACCTTCACTCCCTCAAATACCACAACCTAACATACCCAATATATTAACAAATATCCATATTACTGAACAAGATGTCTCGGACCAAATTAGTAATCTAAAAATTAATAAACCTCCAGGTCATGATGGTGTCATTCCTAAAATTGTAAAAAAAAACCTTCAAGCATCTCTAAAATTGCCCTTAATGCTACTTTTTAATAAAACACTGGAAACTGGGGTAATACTGGAAACAAACCAATGTTAATGCTATTTATAAAGATAAAGGGTCAGCTAATGATGTCACAAATTTCGATCACTACATGCTTCAGAAAATTGATTGAAAAAATCATTTTTAAATATCTTTATAATTTTCTCATTGGACACAGTATCATTACAAAGAATCAATCTGGTTTCACTCCTGGTGACTCTACAGTTAACCAGCTTCTATTTATTTAAAACGAAGTTGTAAGCAATATGGATAAAGGTAAAGAACTCCGATTTGTTTTCTGTGATATCAGTAAGGCATTTGAAAGAGTATGGCATAAAGGTCTTTTACACAAGCTTAAATTATATGGTATTGATGGCTCAATAACTATCTTTCTGACCGGTTACAGTTAATACAGAAGGTTATTTTCCACAATTTAAAATTGTAAATGTAGGACTGCCACAAGGCTCAGTTCTTGGTCCCCTATTATTTCTTCTCTACATAAATGACATTACCTCAAACATAACCACTAATATTTAACTATTTGCTGATGACACATCCCTATACATAATCATAGATGACAACCCAGCACAGGCAACACAATCTCTTAACGCAGATCTTTCTAATATAGGTAAATGGGCTAAAATCTGGAATATTAACTTTAATGCTAATAAAACTAACTCTGTCCTCTTTTTCAGGAAACAGAATACCAACCACCCCCCACTTTTCTTTCAAAACAACCAAATAACAGAACAGTCATCACACCAACACTTAGGGCTTACTCTTCAGGAAGATGCAACATGGAAACAACACATTCAAAATATACATAAAAAAGCATACAATAGACTCAACATTCTTCGTTATATCAAAAACACTGTAAGCAGAAAATCATTAATTAGAATTTATACAGCATTTATTAGACCTATTATGGGATATGCAGATATTATATGGGACAACTGTACACAACAAGAAAACAATCTTTTAGAATCATTTCAATTAGAAGCTGCAAGAATTATTACAGGTATGCGATCAGGGACATCACATGAAAAATTAGATAAAGAACTGGGTAGGGAAACACTAGCTGTAAGAAGACAAAATCACAAACACATAATGATGTACAAAATTATACATGGTCAGACACCTCAATACTTGCTAGATGTTTTAAATCCCTTCACTAATAGTAATGTTGTCAACCCCTATCCACTATGACAACCTAGGCTTTTTAATCCTCCTCTGTGCAGAACTTATAATTACTTTAACAGCTTCTTCCCTAGCATGTACGAGAATTTAACACAGTTAATCCCAACATACTTAAACTCTCCGTCACTTGCTGCTTTAAAGACATATCTGAACAAAGACTTAAATAATGAATGTTTATCTTCAACTATTTTCAAAACTGAAGGCAATAGACGAGCTAATATTGTTCTCTGTCAATTACGCAGTAATTCAAATTATGATTTATATTGTGATCATCTTGTGGATAATCCTTCTTGTGCTTGTTCATATGAAAAGGAAACAGTTTCTCATTACTTCCTGAATTGTCCTTTGTATGCTTGGCAAAGAAATTTATCATTTGTTTCTATCCTTAATAATCATCATAATCATGTAGATTTAACTTCTCCAAGGCTGTTCTGTTTGTAATGAGCTTACTGATAAAATATACTTGAAGCTGTACAGCTGTATACTGCACAGACCAGAAGGTTTAACTTCTTTATATCTTAACTACACACAGCCAGGATAATGTGCAAATATGTTATTTTATCATGCTTTACTCAATATTGACAGACAATTACTGGATACCAGATAAATATGAAATATACAAATCCATATACACTAATTATGGATAGTCTACAAACCATAATAAAATAATGAATTTACATTATATTGACAGAATTGGCAGTGCAAATGCACTTGGGACTTTTATGCCAACCTGTCAATCTATTTGATATAAAATCTATCACTGATATGTGTTATTGCAAGTGTATACAGCTGTAGGTTGCTGTATACTATATTTATATATATATTGTGCATATTGTATGTGAGATGTGTGAGAGTTATCTCCTTTTATTTGTTTTTCCTTGGTTTTTTCCCATTCTGTGTTTATAAATTCACTTTCATTTCTAATTATATAATTTACATCATTACTCTTAAACTTTGTTAACTTTGGCTTCGTGGAGAGAATTTATATAGGCTTTGCCTGTTATTCAATCCACATTGACTGTACCATCTTTGTCAATAAAATTTGTTGAAATGAAAATGAAATATGATTGATTATCCTGGTTTTAGAACCAAAATCAGAATTAAATTTGCCTTTTGATATTAATTCAAAATATGCCAATTAAAAGAAATGTGTTTTAGAAGGATATTGTTTATAATCCTATATATGTATTTTTTCTTTTTAAGTTTTATGTTCAGAACAAAAATTATAGGTCAAATTTGACAGGTTGCTAGAATGATTACCAGTTGCATTGAACAGGTTTCTTTTCCTAAATTTCTATGTTAACATCTTTCAAAGCTTACCATAATATCTATATCTTCATGAAGATGCTTGCAGGTTGCTGCAAATGTTTCGGACGTTCCAAATTCAAAGTACCACAGTTTATTTTTCATCCTGGAACAAAGATATGATTTCATGATAAAGGGGAGAAAACTCCTACTAAAATTTAACAAGGACAAGTTCCACCTCCAGATAGTTAATATCAGGAAACAAGTCAGTTTTGTTCATAAACTTTTTGACATAAAGATTGATTTTTATATATTTACACAATTTTATCTCTCAGTCATTTGAATTTATTAATACATGTATTTGCAATAAACAAGAATAATTTCACAATTTCTGCACAAGAATTATAGGAATATAAAGGAATACATCCAGAGCCAAGCAGAAAAAACATTTTTCTAGGAGTATTGTATTTATGCTATCTTACAAATGTAAATTTTTTCTGTCTCATAACTTTACAATATCTAAACAACAACCATCTTTGAATGTTTATTATTTCATCTCAATTCATGGACACTTTCACAATGTACTCACCTGCTATTAAATTTTTCAGGATGTCTCTCGCGCATTACATGGAATCTATGACAAATGGATGCATCCTGAAAATATTAAGAAATACTCTCTATGTGTCTGTAAAAACATTCCAACAGATTTTTTTTTCAAACTTTTTTCTTTTTTCTTTTATAATTTTATATACACATTTATGTCACAATTACATAAAAAGAAAATTAATTATTTTCATTTTCAAATGATTTCACTCGATTACTACCATTGTGTGCTATGTATAGGAAAAAATACCATTATGACACAAAGACGCCAGGCACCAGGCAGACTTGACGAGACATGGCAATCATATACTGAGTTGTGTATTGAGATTTCAATGTCATCTTCCTATGAGTGTATTGTTAAACATGGTCAAACAATGAAATTGAATACCTTAACCTATTAAACAGAATATTTCTTACGGGTAAGAGAACTCGAACTTAACAACACTTAAGAGATAGATACTCACTACACCTATGGAAAAGTAATTGTTGATTATATTGTATGGAATTGGGTCACCCTCTTCCTCCTCCCCCTCCTCAGGTTTGCTGAACTCTATCTGCCAGCGGTCCATCATTACTGATGTACCATGTTCAATCCTTTGGAGGACCTTAATCAAGCTCTCACCTTCATAGCCTAAAGAGAAAACAAACTTGATCGTACCTAGCAACATGTTTACATAATTTCTCCAACTGACACGTGTATTTCTGAACAATTCTTAGTTCCCTGAAGCACATAGCCTAAGGAGAAAACAAACTTGATCGTACCTAGCAACATGTTAACATAATTTCTCCAACCGACACATGTATTTCTGAACAATTCTTAGTTCCCTGAAGCAAGGATAAGTTCTGTATACCATCTTTCTCATACTCTGCTAACTTTTTGTTCACCAATTATACAAAAAAAAAATTGGAATTAGAAAATAACTAGACACAATTTCAAAACAGTCCAGTGACGTATTAAGAGATATATGTATACTCACCACCGCCCCAGCGTAGACAGCGAGCTAGGTCATTACCAGTACCCAACGGTAGTACAGCTACTGGAGGTCTCTCCTTATAATTCAACTTATCTGAAGAGTTGAAACAAAAGAATACTGTACGAAGGGAGCAAACTCCTGCTTAAACTTTCTGATTTTTTCCCCAAAAGTTTACATTAACACTTTCATTCTACAGCTGTATTAATCTACAATTGGTTCAGGTAAAATCACACAGCTGTGTTTTGTTTTCCTCTGAAAAATCAATTGTTTATGTATATCATCATAATAACTACTATATAGTTATTTACAAGCTGGAACAATTTTATTTACAAATCATGCTAAACCCCCATATTTGCTGGTCTATTTACCCATTGCCTCAATGAGCCAGCCAACTGAGCCATCGCCACCACACACCAACACCCGTACTCCTGGTACATCCTTGAAAAACTGTAGCCTGAGTATTATAAATGTACAGTTAACAAAAAATTTCAGTCAATTGGTTTGTATATTTTGTTCTATAAGAAAGCTCTATATTTTTTTTTTAAAGAAAGACATATATTCTGTCATTTCCTTTGAAAGGAAATTGTGACAGTTGTGACGTGACAGTTGTGACAGTGACAACAGAAGGAACTTACCCAGGCATCGGGCCTTGTTTGATCATATCATGTACTTGGCGCGGATTTAACAGGTACTGCATTTTTCTTAAAATTCTAAAATGAAAAACAAATCCCTTTTTAAAAGCTTATCATTATATAAGGTAAGTACATTGTGCTTTGAACTTTAGAATTCAAACACTGGCAACTAGCATAACAAAGAAGAAACAGACAGGACAAATTAAAGTTTATTTTCATTTAAGTCTTGATACTTCATTTGAACATTTTAAAGATGGCAGTTACTTTTTATAAATCTTCTAACGTGAAACTAAGACTTCACTTGTAGGTCATGTGACTTACTTTGTACCCTGTTTGCCCCCACTTTTGGGATTGATGAAGACAAGAAGAGGATGACTACCATGGACTGGGGTAATTTGAAATGAGTTTTGACCCTGAAATAAAAACATATATCAGATAACTAATTGTAATAGGTGGATAACACATATTTGCTTCTATATTTGGCAACAAAATTATCGTCAGAAAATGTAAATATTCTAGTTTTCATGTAAGGGTGTATGCTACCACTACATATTAAAACTCTTACAAAAAGAAAGACTGTGAACAAAAGACATACGGGGAAGATGTCATCATAGTTTAAATATTTTTTTTTACCTTGACAGTCACCTGAGATAAGCAATATTGAATTTAAGAGGTTGAAGAGTAAGTAACTTCAGGCGTCATGAAAAGAAAATGAGACATTGACGACAGTAAGCCAGTGTCAATGCATGTATACCATCAAAACTGTCATCCTAGACATGTAATAATAATTCTTACAAAGTTAGTTCCAATGGGAAATTAATAACATTATGCTCAAAAACACCATTTTTCTATAAAAGTTATATAAAGTAAACCTCCATCACAGGAATATTATGAGACCCATTTTGGTAATTAAGCACCTTAAGACACTTCCATCCATGAAGAACATTTGATTCTACCATACCTTGGTGTTGCGAAAAGGATTTTTTGAAATTTGAGTCAATTTGGCCCATTTTTGCCCTGCCCATCAGCCCCCTGGGGGTCCGCCAGGATCAATATGAGCATACCATCAAGCCATCATCCTTTTGTTATAATTCTTACTAAGTTTGAAATATTTCCGATGCGAATTAAAGAAACTATGCCCAAAAATTTATTTTTTCAAATATAAATAATAATAAACTTTACCCCCTCTCCATAGGGAAATGTGAGACCTGGGGCCATGAAATTCAAAATATTGGTGTAGTACCCAAAGATGATCCCATCCATGAAATGCAATTGATTACACCTTATTTGAATGTTGGGAAGAAGATTTTTGACCCATATAGCCCTGCCCCTCAGGTCCCTGTGGGGGTGGGGATTGCATAATTCAGGACTCTGGTGCATTTTAGGCCAGGGAAGTTTTCTGCAAAATTTCATTGAAAACAGATTAGAGGTTTTGGAGAAGAAGTTGAAAATGTGATATTGTTTATGGACGCAAGACGCACGACACTGGACAAAGGTGATTGCAATAGGTCACCATGAGACTCAGATGACCTAAAAACAGAAGTATGGAGGCATACCCGGATATAGGCAACATTATATGCATCTATTCAAGAATGTTATATACCATCATAGCACTTGTACTATCACTAATGAAAGTGAAAACATTCTATTGTATTGATCCTGCAATAAGCTCAGTTGTCAGTTTATTATTTCTAACTTAAAGTCAGCTAATGGACTTATTTCACGTCTAGCCCACACTAGTAAACATTATCATTCAACAGAATGTGTTTAAAAATTTTCACTGACAAGTAAAGATTTGACTGAGTTACATAATGTTCTCACCGGCGTGCTGCCAGACACGTCAAATGTGGTGGAGTTTGTCCGTGTCACTCCTTTCTTCTCATTCTTTCCACCTGCAGACCCTGTCCTTTGACGCTCCTACATCAAACATTAAGAATGTAAGTCATAACTATCTATGAATATTAAGGGCACCAGGTTAAGGAAATACCAGGAGATAAACAAGCAATATCAAAAATTTGCTTTTGACAAAAAAATTAAAACCACCATAAATTTACTTAAATATATATAGACAGTCTTTATTGATATGAAGACTGTTTACTAATGAGTGCAGCAGGACATGTAGAAGTGGGCGATAGATTGTTAACTTACCAGTACAGCAGGACATATAGAAGTGGGCGGTAGATTGTTAACTTACCAGTACAGCAGGACATATAGAAGTGGGCGGTAGATTGTTAACTTACCAGTACAGCAGGACATATAGAAGTGGGCGGTAGATTGTTAACTTACCAGTACAGCAGGACATATAGAAGTGGGCGGTAGATTGTTAACTTACCAGTACAGGACATATAGCAGGACATATAGAAGTGGGCATATAGAAGTGGGCGGTAGAGTTAACTTACCAGTACAGCAGGACATATAGAAGTGGGCGGTGTTAACTTACCAGTACAGCAGGACATATAGAAGTGGGCGGTAGATTGTTAACTTACCAGTACAGCAGGACATATAGAAGTGGGCAATAGATTGTAAACTTACCAGTACAGCAGGACATATAGAAGTGGGTGGTAGTATGTGGTCTCTCATAATTCCAAGGTCACACTCGGGCTTCACTTGTGATGCACATTTGTTATGTAACTAAAAATGACACAAAACAAACCACTTTAAGATTTGAATGAAGCCTTGATATCTGGCCTTGTTTACTTTTTTCCATCCAGATTAGTGGATCATGTCTAATAAACATGTATTCAGCACAGCTTTCTCTCATTCTTTGAAAAAGAATTAAAAACAAATAGCCGAACATTTTTCAGCCAATCAGAGATTACAGCAGCCATGTTTAATGTCAGTTATGGGTGAAAAAATAATGGTGCACGTTAATGTCAGTTAATCAACATGGCTTTGTCAGTTGGTGACTTCATGATGATCAGAAAGGAAGCTAAAACAACTGAGTTTTCCAATTTATCTGAGGGCTATAATTGTAAATAAACATTATGAGGATATTATGAAGATGTCTCATTTTTCATATGTCTCTAGTTACTGTTCTTTTGACTTGTGTTTGGCCAAGGTCATAGAAACCTTTTTTGTACATGTATAATTGGTACTCCAAATTATATGTTTATTCAAAAAATAACTTACCTGAGTTCATGAAGAACCATTTAATATGATAAATAAACAATTTTGTCCTTTTTTGTGTTTGATTACTTGGTACTTAAGTATGAAAAGTCTGCCAGATTTCTTACACACTGGATCACATTCTAGTAAGGTATTCCATTCTACACAAAGAATTATCAACAGAGTCATTTCATCGACATTACACACCAAAAATTATGACAGATAAAAACATTTTTAGTTCAAAGAGAATGAACTTTCAGGAAAATTATAACTGAAATATTGAAAGTAAATTGATAAACCAAAATATGGATGTCATTCACTCACCGTTGTGTGGCACCAGCGACAATGAAGGCCTGTCACACCATTTTTTACAGATTTACGACACTTGTCACATTTTCCAGAACAGTTACCCTCAACCCAATGGTGGGTCATAGCCTGAAAATCAGAATATGGTATTAAAACAGTGATTCATACAAACATATACATCATTGTTAGTAGAAACTGATGCTTATTTTAATTTACAATCAACTTATTTATATTTTGAAAAAGAAACAAGAAATAAAGTGAAGGACAGAAACCAAACATCTGGTCAAAGATCACAGACAGAAACATCAGGTCAGGGATCACAGACAGAAATCAAACATCAGGTCAGGGATCACAGACTGAAACCAGACATTAGGTCAGGGAACACAGACAGAAATCAAACATCAGGTCAAAGATCACAGACAGAAACCAAACATCAGGTCAGGGATCACAGACGGAAACCAGACATCAGGAAAGGGATCACAGACAGAAACAAGACATCAGGTCAAGGATCACAGACAGAAACCACACATCAGGTCAGGGATCACAGACAGAAACATCAGGGATCACAGACAGAAACATCAGGTCAAAGACCACAGACAGAAACCAGACATCAGGTCAAAGATCACAGATAGAAACCAGACATCTGTTACAAGTCAAAAGATATAGAAGACAGTAACCATACATGTGTGAAGTCAAGGATCAGAGACAGAAACCTGACATCTATTACTTGTCCAGGATTAGAGATAGAAACCAGACATATGTGAGGTCAAGGATCACAAACAGAAACCAGACATCAGGTCCAGGATTAGAGAAAGAACCCAGACATAAGGTCATGGATCAAAGACAGAAACCAAACATCAGGTCAGGGCCCAGAGACAGAAACCAGACATCTGTTATAAGTCAAGAATTAGAGATAGAAACCTGACACATGTGAGGTCAAGGATCAGAGACAGAAACCTGACATCTGTTACAAGTCAAAAATTAGAGATAGAAACCAGACATATGTGAGGTCAAGGATCACAGACAGAAACAAAACATCACGTCAGGGTCCAGAGACAGAAACCAGACACCTCTAAAAGTCATGGATTAGAGATAGAAACCAGACATCAGGTCAAGGATCAGAGATAGAAACCAGACATATGTGAGGTCAAGGATCACAGACAGAAACCAGACATCAAGTCAAGGATCACAGACAGAAACCAGACATCAGGTCTAGGATTAGAGAAAAAACCCAGACACAAGGTCATGGATCAAAGACAGACACCAAACATCAGGTCAGGGCCCAGAGACAGAAACCAGACATCTGTTATAAGTCAAGAATTAGAGATAGAAACCAGACACATGTGAGGTCAAGGATCATAGACAGAAACCAGACATCAGGTCATGGATCAAAGGCAGAAACCTGACATCAAGTCATGGAACAAAGGCAGAAACTAAACATCTGTTACAAGTCAAGAATTAGAGATAGAAACCAGACGCATGTGAGGTCAAGGATCAAAGACAGAAACCAGACATCAGGTCAATGATCAGAGACAGAAACCAGACATCTGTTACAAGTCCAGGATTCGAGATAGATACCAGACATGTGTGAGGTCAAGGAGCAAAGGCAGAAACCAGACATCAAGTCAAGGCTCAGAGACAGAAACCAGACATCCAGTTAAGGATTGGAGTTAGAAACCAGACATTATGTCAAGGATCAGAGATTTTAACCTCATTGACCCCAGTGACCTTGAAAGTATCACAGTCATTCATTTGAGAAAATATGGTGACCCTTCATCCAGGATGCTACAGGCTCAATATCCAGACCTATAGTTGTTTGGTTGTTATAAAGTTGTATATTTGTTTAAAAAAAACTTGGTAGCCCTTCATCCAATGTTACAGATCTAATATCAGTGCCCTTGGACTTTCAATACTGAAAAGTCCTTTAAAGGAAAAAGCTGATGTCGGGCGGCAGATATTGTGCCATGGCATACCACTTTTATAAAGCTCACTTGACCTTTTTAGGGAGATGAGCTAAAAGAAATATGGATACCCAAGGGGAATACAATAAGTAAACAGCAGCATACATATTTACAGTCTATCTGTAACCACCAGACACTAGGTGGCACATGTTCAGAATCATTAACTTACAGGTGGCTGTAAGGCACCAAACAACAATTGTCCTTCATGCTAGAATTTATCTGGTAACATTCCAGTATATATACTGTAAAAACATATATTTTTGTGAGGTTCAATTTCCATGATTTTCTATAAAAAAATCACAATTTCATAGAAATTAGATTTTGTGGATAAACATAGCACAATAAATGTCTTAAAACTAATTATATCAGTTTGTAAACCCAAGAAATTAATGAAAAATTAATCCCCAACAAAATTAATGATTTCACAGTATCCAAAATAAGTATAAGAAGATGTAAAACTTTAATACATTTCATGAATAGAAGATAATAGAATTATTATTAGAGGATAGATATAAGAAAGAAAACACTTGAAGAATGAAGATATTTCTGAGAATGTAAAGATTTGTAGATGGAAATTTCCTCATACAGAATACATATTGCAATGACCATATACTAGCACAATTAGCATACAGAAATCAGAACACAATGGAAATCATTATACAGATACAAGAATATTAGAATGCAGGTACTTGAGTTAAAATGTAGATATAAATAGCACAATAGGAGAATGTAGGTCCTGGAGCAAAGGGATTCAAGATATATATAGAAAGACAATAGAATGGGAAAGAATTACACAGCTACAGATATTGCTTTAGATACAGAAATATGTTTTTGAAAAAAAAGAAAGAGAAAAAAAGAAAGGAAATTTTGAAATGAAAGATTGAAAATAATATCCAAGAAAATAAAACTTGTATTATTATATTGTAAATTTCATTGGCTTGTTAATAAGAAAAACAATAGTTTGCACTGTTGAATTTTTTGTTACCTCTGTAGCTATTTATTTAATTAACAAATCTGAGTAAATTTAATCCGGAAATTTAATCAAATGTCACCGAGAACACATGTTTATATATTTGTACTAAAACTGCAAAGATGATAAAAAAACATCAATCATTCAGATAAAGAGAAATTGTTAAATCTTTATCTGTTTTTTCTTCTCTCCATTTTAAGTATTGATTAATGGTTTTTCTAGCACCTTATTTACCTTTGATATTGTATGTATGTCATTCACGGATGATAAAACTCAAAACATAAAAAAATAATATTGATGTATACAGTATACGTGAAATAAATAAATATTCATGCAGTGCTCTATTAGAAGACAGAACTTTTAAAGGACAATTACAGATATAGAAAGTCCTGACCAGCAAATTAAGACAGCACAGGATTCACAAGCATTCAACAGAAGTGCAAATGAAATAAAACGTGAATTTCTCTGACATTTTGTGTAAATTGGCAGAACTGTCATCAGTGGTATTCTAATCTTATAAACGGTGCCAGGTGACCTTAACCCTGTAAGTCTGCCAAAGGGACAACAGTCATTACTCCTGAAAGTTGGCGGGAATGGGTGAGGGGGTGGAGATATGAAATGTAAATACCACAAAACATAATTCAATAAATTTATAAATCAATTAATCACTAGTAACTGAACAATATTATTTTACAAATACAACTAAAAGACAAAATTCCAGAAATTTCTGGTTCCCAGGAACACAATGATACAATAAAAAAAATGAGCCAATTATCTCCCTTTCATATTGTTTTGTTAATACTGGCTCTCCCTAATTCTAATTTGTAACCAATCCCTACAGTAAAACCTTTTTAATCTACTGAATTCTTTAAATCTTTAATCATTTAAAATAATCAGATGGTACATAATATAAATAACATCTACACCAAACTGTAGGATAGTAAGGTACCTTAGCATCCCCACCTCTTTCATTCAGACAAAAGGCCAATAACTCTAACAAAAATATTTTTGAATTTAAGATTTATCTCAGTTACCCACATTACAGAAAATATGTACCTAGTTCCACCAATGTAAGTCAGATACAGTAGCAGCAGATATCAGAAAACAGACAAAATTTCTGTAATGAAAACTTGGGAATTTATCTCCTCTGATTTGAATACTTGACTGACATGATCCGATATTTGGCTTCAAAGCAGTTTCTTGTCTTCTTACAACTAAACCAGACATATGTGTAAGTCTCTGATATGAGTAATATTACTGTATACTACTGTACCTTGTAAGTCAGGAGCTTGGAGTATTTAGAGGCTGTGAAGGGCCTCTAACACTCAATAAACACTACACCTCCATCAAGATTGTTGAAAAAAAATAGCAAAGAATCATATGTGCCAAAAGACCATGAATGTTGACAGAGAGAATTCACTGATTCTGTTTCAAATCTAAAGACTACACCGCTACAGGTCTACTGATATTATGTTAGGTATCATGCCCTTCTAGACTCAATAATCCACTAATTTTGTATTTGGTTTAGAGGCTATGGATAAGATTAATGCTGTTACACAGTACAATATGCCTCCCATTGCTCTAGTGTCATTTATTTCAAAACTTAATTCTATCTTGGTTAGAGGCTACAGTTAAATTCAGATACACTTCCTTTTCTAGTCCACAATTAAATATCTTGAATCTGGGTTAGAGGTTACAAATGCAGACTCAGAATTCAAGTCCTTACTACAAATAAAATTGATGATTGACTTTATATATCAGAAATAAATCTCCCCTCTCTCCATTTGTATGTGGGTGTGAGGCTAAGTTACAACTAGACACGTTGCATCATTATATAAACAGTTTATAAGTGTAAACTGTGAACCACAACAACATGCTGTCAAAAGGAGAAAGATAAAAATTGCATTGACACAAAAAAAAAATCTACGAGGTTCAAATTGTCATACCTCTGGTTCCCCCTGCATTTCATGAAAGTAAAATGTCACATAGCCAATATCAATACACTCTATAATAAAAAAAACTATGTCCACTGGATTTCAGATTTTATCACAACAGATTTCATCTTTTATCACAACAGATTTCAGCTTTTATCACAACAGATTTCAGCTTTTATCACAACAGATTTCAGCTTTTATCACAACAGATTTCAGCTTTTATCACAACAGATTTCAGCTTTTATCACAACAGATTTCAGCTTTTATCACAACAGATTTCAGCTTTTATCACAACAGATTCAGATTTTATAAATGTATTTGAAAATATGATTTTATTATTAAGACTTTACTTTTATAAATTCAGATTTCATTATTACAAACTTAAGGATTACTTTTTCATTAACTGTTCTTTTCCTTTTTCACCTTTATATTTGAATCAAAAACTGAATTAGACTTAGAATAATTTTATAACCTTAAAGAAAAAAGATGATTAACAATGTCTTTTGAACTTCGAAATATTATTTCAAGAGCATTTCATAATAAACTATTGTGTAAGTCACGACTTTAAATTAAAAAAGAAAATAAAAATCACATCAACTGAGAGTACATATAACTGACTCCAACAGTAGAATTTTGTTTATTTTTATCAAGTAACATTTAATAATTTTGTAATTCTTAAAATGCAAATTAAGACTACAGTTCGGAGTTCTGTTTATCAAATTTTTCGATTACATTTTAATATTATACATCTACTTTTGACAGTGGAATGAAAATTATTTTAGATACTAACTAAAAAATATGTGTGTTATATATCAAGATTGTGTGTTCAGAATTTATCAAACACAAAACTTGTGAGAAACTGTTAATACAAAATAGTGAGGGATAAGCAACATGTGTGTTTTTATCATATGTTTATCACTGGCGGGTCTAACACTATGGTCAGTAAGAGCTGCAGACTTTAGTGCCAGGAGTGTTAAATATTAGGCAGTTTCATGCTTGAGTTGCACAGTAAGCAGATCAGACAGAAACTTATTAAATCATTTACATACATAATTTCTAATATCTAGAGTTATTTCACTGTTATGCAATACTAAAAATTTTGTTGACAGATTTCGAAGGTTTTACTACAGTATCATTTTCTCTTGCCCTGCACAGATGTATTTTCTATTTTACCTGGTGAGTGAGAATCCTTGTCTTACAGGATTCTCCTTTTTAAAACACATGTACAGAGATGTCTTGACATTTAGATCACTGAACATATATAGGGTCAGCAGGGTAAGAGAAAAGTATTCTTTCAAACCTTGTGGGTGGCATAAGAGAATCCTATCCTTTGGGGAAATATTGTTAAGTTGCCAAACACATGAGGAAAGCATTGTGTTTACCAACTTAATATTTTTTCCTCTATAATAGAGATTCTTTTATCTCATCCCCACTGTGTGAATGTTTAATCAATCTTTACTTTAGAAATTGTTCCTTGCGGTGTATATAGCTCTAAAGATTCTACATAATCATCATCTTCCATTGCTTAATACAGAAATTATTTTAATCATAAGAGATGCTTTCATTGAATATTTTTAAATAAAAAAATGATTACATAAGTCTAGAGGAAGAGACAGAATAGTCTTTGTAAGAGAGAGTTCAGAAAATACTGCAGAAGAAGAAAAAGATTTCAGTTAGATTTAGGTAGAACAAAATATATCCATTTATCCTTCACAACATGGATGTCTTACCTGGGATGTTTTCTTTGACTTGACGTAGGTTGTGATACAGGAGGCAGGTGCCCGATGAACACATCTCTCATGTACAGTGTATTTACAAACTGAAAAACCAAAAGTTTCAAATGAGTATGGCAATGTATTGCATAAAACCCACTCACTCATCAACAAAGGGCCATAACTCTTACATGTTTTATGTACAAAAAGACAACATTGTTTAAAAAAAGAGATGATCTCAAGATTGTAAATGAATGATAACTATGTTTGAAGAGTTGATGAAGATTGCTGAACAACATGTGGTGAGTAGCGGTTGAAACCCATAAGCAAATACATGGAACTGTTTATACCGTACACGGAGAGGTGCAGTTTAAAATTCAGCATGTCAAAATCAGGCAATCAGCTTGCAAATATGGGCTACTATAATAAAACTAACTTTGATGGGGTAGATACCATGGTGGACAATCAAAATAAAATCAAAGGAATAATAATATAAACTAATGTATAAGAGGTCCAACTCCATGAGGAAGTGTTTTGAAATCAAGAGAATAAGCAGGTCTCTTCTTAATGATAAAAACAGCAAATTTTGCCCTTTCAACATTCTCGAGAGGAGTATAACAGCGTCAGAGCAGACCAATCCTGACTGACCAGCAGAGGGGATACATATTGTCTTCCATTCATGTCGAGTGAATAGCAGATGTGGAGATGACTAATCCTATACCGTTCTTTGACGAGGTGCTAATATTGACAAAAGTCCATCAGTGCAGCCTGCATGCCCTACCAGGTATGACTTGACTTGCTCAAATGCCTCACTATAAGAAGGTGTCTCTGTTGATTGAACAGTTGTGGTGATTGATCCTGAGAATAGTTTTGGTGGTATATGATGGGTGGCCACTGGAGGTGAAAAGTACTGGTGAGTGTAACCATCAGTAGGTTTACTTACATATACAACACAACACAATCTTTCCTTGCCCAGCTCCAGCAGTAGGCTTACATACACCTAAAACACAATCCCTCCATTGTTGTTCTGTCCATCCTGCTGGCTCACTTAAATATACAACACAATCCCTGCTTTCCCAACCCCAGTAATAGGTTTACTGACATCATGCCAAGCCCCATATGATTCTACCATGTTTGAAAATTGAGAAACGTTTTGAGAATAAACAATTTATGCTCAAAGATGCATTTTTATCTAAATAAACTAAAGTAAATTTGACCCCCTCCCAAGGGAAAGGTGAGACTATACAATTTAAAATTTTGGTTTACCTACGGACATAAAAGGTTTCTGCCAAGTTTCACTGAAATCAGTTCAGGGGTTTTCCAGAAAGTCAAAAATGAAACAAGTTTACGGACAATGGACCATGGACACTGGGCTATGCAAGACAAAAGAATATTGCAGAATTACTGCCAGTAGATGCATGTATAAGTCCAACACAACCTTGGCTTGCCAAACCCCTCCAGTAGGTTTAATTACATGTAAAACACCATCCCTACTTGCCCAGCCCCATAGTTTGGTTCACTTACATGTACAACACAATCCCTGCTTGCCCAGCCCCATAGTTAGGTTCACTTACATGTACAACACAATCCCTGCGTGCCCAGCCCCATAGTTTGGTTCACTTACATGTACAACACAATCCCTGCTTGCCCAGCCCCATAGTTTGGTTCACTTACATGTACAACACAATCCCTGCTTGCCCAGTCCTTCTATTAGGTTCACTTACATGTACAACACAATCCCTGCTTGCCCAGTCCCACTATTAGGTTCACTTACATGTACAACACAATCCCTGCGTGCCCAGTCCCACTATTAGGTTCACTTACATGTACAACACAATCCCTGCTTGCCCAGCCCCACCAGTAGGTTGAGACAAAGATTACAGTAGGCGGGCTTATTGAAATGCTTCAGCCTCCAAGTGTGGTTTCCATCATCTTTTACATTCTGTGCACAAAACAAAAGAAAATGTGGTCAGGCATTGGTGATATAGTTGTGTCCAGCTAATGTCCACCTCACTCTAATACAAACGGAACTTTACCTACTACACACTGACCTATCTCTAATATTATTGTATATTTATATTTTTCTTATTCTTTACATATATTTTACAGTGTGCTATTTTTTAATTTTTGGAAATATATTAAAGTTTCTCAGGACATTTCTGAGTAGACTGTGCCTGCTATAAATAGTTAGTCTGCTTCTCATTTTTCTCTAATCTATAAGTTATCAAAAATGTTCATCTCATTCTTTGAAAATAATTCACTAAAAATGACGATTTAACCACCAGTTCTTGTCAGAACAATTTTTGTACATTAAAACATTTTCGGCAGATTTTCTTTTGCTTTTTATCTACATTATTCTCAAAAATTCACAGATAAAACACTCAGTTTTAAACCATTTATAAAAGAACAAGGGAAATCCATATATATGCTTGTTGAGCGCCCTGACCAGAAATTGAACACGGTTCTACAGACTGAGCCAAAGAAGCATGTATGCTCCATCAGCTGAGTAACAGAGACCATATTTAACAGCATATACAAGCCATACTGACCCACTTCATTTATCCCCGTTAGAAAAAAATCCAAAATTCATATAGATTAATGAATGACTATTTGAATATATATCCTAGTGCAGAAAAAGATTTCATTTGAGGTGGAACCTGTTAAAAAGCTCATCCTGTTTTTTGTGGAGGTAGTTTGCTGTCACATACTATATACTAACAGTGTTGTAATAAAATAAATAAAATGTGAGATCAACATAATCATACAAAGCAAGAAATAATATTTCAGAATTCTAACTGGTTTGAACATTTATTCAAACAACTTGTTAAGAATGACATATTCCTTAATTTGATTTATTCAATTTCCTTTCACATCAAATTCAATATTCCCAGTTTTGCTTTGCTGGAGTTCAAAAAGTTTTCATTATTTTCCTTCAAACCATTCGTAAAAATCCTGCAAAAAAAATTATTGAGCTTAAGGGAAGCAACTCTTTAATACCTGATCTGAAAAAAAAAACAGAAAGAAAAAAATACTGTAGAATTGTCTGAAAAATTTTCAATGAATCAAACAAAAATGTTTGTTAAAAGTGACAGCTATAAACCTGAAATCAAACTTTTAAGCATTTGTATATAACATACATTCAGAAATACATGTACCAGGCTAAAAAGTATCAGTGTTTTGTGTCAGTCAGTGAAAGTTGTGTCTACTTTGAAGGGATATTATATACATGCATGTCATACATATGGTACTCACTTTAGTATTTTGCTATTACCTTCAGAACAAGATTGAACTCCTAATGACAATATTCATGGAGTTCAAGCATGTCAACATAGCCTTTATTAGAAGTCAAAATAATACCTGATATAATGGTGAACCTGAACTGTCACAGGACACTCATTGCGTGGATCAGGCCTGGTAGAATATGAAGATTACTTACTCAGCCTCATTGAATCAGACCTTAGTAGAACACTGTGAATTACTCATGAAGTTGAGACCTGGTGGAACATGGAGGGTTACTCATTGAGCCTTGACCTAGTAGAACATGGAAGTTTACTAACTGAGTGAAGACCTAGTAGAACATGGAGGGTTACTCATAGAGTCTAGATCTAGTAGAACATGGAAGTTCACTCACCGAGTGAAGACCTAGAAGAACATGGAGGGTTACTCACCAAGTCGAGCCTTAGTAGACCATGGAGAGTTACTCATCGAGTCAAGACCTAGTAAAACATTGGAGGTTACTCAATGAGTTAAGACCTAGTAGAACATGGAAAGTTACTCACTGAATCAAGACCTAGTAGAACCAGAAGAGGTATAGTGGTCATCCCACCTCTTTTCCACTCCTCTAGTGTGACAGTGCCATCAGAGTCGTAATCTATCTCCACCATCATGTCCTGTAAAATCTGGGAACGACAAAAAACAAGCCGTTTAATATGTATGTGTATAACAAACAACATAGTAATCACATCATGTTTCTCTCACACCGGAAGTAAGACTTTTAGTTAGTTGATCTAGTGATTAAGTCATGTATGTGTAACATTTACAATTTGTACTAAATGGTGAATGTGTCCCTTGCCTTCAGTCATGTATGTGTAACATTTACAATTTGTACTAAATGGTGAATGTGTCCCTTACCTTAAGTCATGTATGTGTAACATTTACAATTTGTACTAAATGGTGAATGTGTCCCTTACCTTAAGTCATGTATGTGTAACATTTACAATTTGTACTAAATGGTGAATGTGTCCCTTGCCTTCAGTCATGTATGTGTAACATTTACAATTTGTACTAAATGGTGAATGTGTCCCTTACCCTCAGTCACGTATGTGTAACATTTACAATTTGTACTAAATGGTGAATGTGTCCCTTACCCTCAGTCACGTATGTGTAACATTTACAATTTGTACTAAATGGTGAATGTGTCCCTTACCTTCAGTCACGTATGAGACAAGTAAATACACAACCTATAGACAATGCTTATGCTACACATGTTTTCATTGGATACTTTTCATGATCTAATCCCCGATATACTTATGATTTCTGATACTAATCCAAAGATAGTGGCCATCTTTCCAGTGGAGGCAGATAATTGATAGTGATATTCATTACAACGACATACTAAAACGTGTCATCAAAATGTGTAGGGGAATGATAATGATTACCTTCATGATATATTCCAATTCACTTTTCTAATAATTTCACAACAAAATGAAATTGTATCACATGGATAATTCTATAGAGAATTATACATAAATCCCGATCTCTATTTGTAAAAACACACTGACAACTTCCGATGAGTTTACTATCATGATCTCTTATTGATGCCTCTACCCAATCTCCTTTATGGAACAAATACCTTTACCATTCAGAGGTAGACATGATGAATTGAAGGTATGTACAACAGGAATCAATATATACAATAATTTACACAAATAAACCATGTAGGCAAACATTTTAAGCCTTTTCTTATGTCTTAACCCACTTCTTGACCCCATCCTGACCTGAAACTATCGACAACATGACTGGAAAGTGAGTAGAGCTTCAGAGCTTCTACTTCATCATTGGTTGAAAGGAGCGTTTTGATTGGCTTAGACAATGTGAGGGACTATTTCAAACAAAAAACTACAGGTCTTTGTTACTATTAGTTTTTTTTGGTACTGAGATATTTACAAAATTTTTCGACTCAAAATATTTCAGAATGGGGAGAGTATGCTTGTTGTTGTATGTATAATGGAGATTAGATCATTAATTTTGTTGTTTCAACTGTGGCTCGTGTTAAAACTAAAATTCATGATCTAATTTCCAGTATATGCATAAAACAAGCATATTTTCCTCTAATTATATAATGAATGCAACACAAATTACAAATCATTCAATATTCAAAATTTAATCAGAACTACATAGGACTAAATAGGTGGAAAATAAATCCACAGTGAAAATGCCTCTCTCCCGTTGTTGTTATAACTTACAGGTTTGAGCTCTGACACATCCCAACCGAGGTACTCAGCAACTGACATCATCTGATTTACAATGGCATCTAGCTCCTACAAAACAGCATTTATACCCAGTAGTCAAAAAAACACGACACATAGATATATACACAAGGAAGTCAAAGTTTAGAAACAATTTAGTTGCACAATTCTTATAGAGAGGGTGTAATCATTTGTTTAAGCAAGCTTGTTTAAATAATTGTGTTTGGATTTGCGTAAGTAAACGTGGTGTGAATTGATAAATGAACATCATCATTATATGTTAAGGGAGTTTTGTATCTTGAGAAGAGAGATAACTGTTGTTTCTCAGGAAGGGAGGTAACTTTGTTCTATCAAGGGAAACGAGATGACTCTGTTGTATATTGAGAAGGAAAGAGGCAAAGAGAAGGGAGATCACATTTTTCTAGTTTCACAGTATCCATGGAAGGGAGATAACTGTTGTATATACTCACACTTGAGTCCAGCAGGCCATTACCATCAGCATCGTACAGACGAAACATGACTGCAACAATGAATATCAAATGTTATCAGTACTAACTATATCCCTCAAACTGTTACTTAGCTCTCTAATAGATCTACCAGCTTTGGCCTAAAAAACAAATCATTGTTCATTGGCTGTTATACACATTAATGGAACAGCCAATCGACTGATCGAATAGCAAAACAGTTGATTTCAATTTCACAGGAAGCTTTGCAACTACAGGAAGTAAACAGTTCTATAATAATGTCATTTTTCTACAACATTTTTGTGGAATTTTTTAAGTATTTACATTTGCATTCATATTTTGCCTCGAGTTTTCTAGTTTATACAAAAGAAATTTACAACTCAAGTGTCAGAGCATACACACTGTATTTTTACAGCAAGCGTACACAGTCTGGCTTCCTATCTTTAACCTACAATAACATGTAGTTATGCTTCAGCGCATAGTTATAAGATATCATCATTGTGTCCAATATTAATACAGGGATAGATATGTAACATTTCTACCACGTAAAGTTTACATTGTCCTGATAGTCACAGGTCACATCTCATAGACACTCTAAGGACACATCACTTAAGGTCAATTTCAGCGCGTGGGGCCAAGTCTGATATTGTAGATTACTAGTGTAATATCACAGTTTCTGTGAGTTGGATTCAAAGCTGGTAAAATGAAAGGTCCCCTCACCATTGAGGGACTGCTGGCAAAAAGTTGCTTCACTGTCATATTTCTTGGACCTGAAAATGAATGCAAACATACTCTCTAGTGTGGAGTATTGCTAGGTACTCTCTAAGGAGTGTGGATACTCACACTCAAGCTTGTCCTCAGGTCGCCCCGCCTCCAGTAGAGACAGGTAACACACCAGATCCTTCAGGTAAATGTGACCAGACTTGATGTCTGCACTGGTGGACCGGTTCCGTACAGACTTAAGCTCCACAGCAGTACTGGCCCGCAGTAGACTGGAGTTGGACTGTCGCACCCAGGGGTCGATGGAGTCCATGGAGTGACCTACCAAACAAAGACTTCATTATTAGGCTAACAAATGAATCCTTATATTGACAAAATAATGACTTGTAGGTCAACTGACCATAGTGTCATGATCTCTAAATGACAAACTAGATACTTTTATTAAGAGGGTCGTTATCATCAGCTATTACAGACTTTTGGCCTTTCAGCTTACCATCCATGATAAACTGATAACTTTGTATTTTTCTATCTTTGGCCAATGTAATGGTTACCACTTTGTAAGAAAGGGTGCGGCTTATAATACGGTGTGGCTTATATGCGGATCAAATAGAGAAATTGCTAAAAATTGGCTCCGTCACTAATACACTGGTGCGGCATATAATCCGTAAAATACGGTATGTTTCAATAGTCATCTCACTTTATTATCAGTTTGATGAGCATAATTCAACACCCACAGTACCCTTATTCTTTGCATTTCACATTGTTCGTTCTTTTGATACAGATGAAAATCCTTGCAAATGGCTAAATTTTGGCAGTATAAAAAGGTTGACATGTGTACATGTTAACTTTATAACTGAATATAGTGCCATCACAAGATCAAACAAATGTTTGATTTTTATGATAAGAGGCTAAGATAGAAGGTCAACATGTAAGGCAATTACGAACATATCTGAAAATTGAATATTCAGAAGAACTAGTAATGGTATTAAATGAAAGGATCATGAGAGGCGTTATATCGAAGGTAACACTGAGGGAGCTGAATCAATGAGTACAGCTATACCATTGTGTTGTGTCTGTACACTATGGTTGGATTTCTTTGAGGATGACCGTGAATGATTGATGCCCTCGGAGGCAGGGTCAGACTCCCCGATGGCTTTGTCTGGTCCAGAGTTGTTTGTTCCAGAGGGATGGCTGGATGTGGATGCTGACCCTACAAAGAAAATCTCAGAAGTTGAAAAGAAATTTTAGAAAACAATAAATTAACTTATTAATAATAATAAATGAGTTTTCAAATTTACAAAGAATTTATTATAAAACTACCTCAGATCAATTTGTTTAAGTAATGCATTTTATCTTTTTGATTCAAAGAAAAAAAATAAATCAAAAAAATAATTGTTAATACTGTATACATAAAAATAAAAAAACAGTTTGATGGAAGTGCGAAAATAAAACTCTGAAAAAACAGTTCACTGTATACATTTATATAAATCAACAAGTTGAAAACTTTCCATGTTTATCATCTTTTCGAAATTTTCTCAAAATATGGTGGAAGAAAGCCAGAGTTCTCGGAGAAAAACCACCAACCTGGTGACTGCCCCATATAGGCCTTAAACTCGAGGTGGAGGACCAGAGACAAAGACACACAAAGGCATTAACCACTTGACCGCTGTGGCCCCCCTGGTATCATACACGGTAAATCAGGCCCCTTATCATATATATATTGGAACAGACAGAGGCACCATATTGTGTGTATTTTAGTATACACCGAATAAAAAGTAAGAGTAGATCTAGAGTTTTCAATGAATCACAATCACTATATATATAAGTCTGAGAAAAACAAGAAAACGTCTGAGAGACATGAGGCCCTCGTTCCCACATGTGGAGACAATGTAACGTTTGACCCTTTAACCTTGAACCAAACATGCCGAGAGATTCTAAAGATATGACATTAATTTGAAATAGGATTTGATGTGAAGTGACATATGGATATGACTTTCACTATATACCCTTCATAAAACGGTGCTGAAATAATCCAAATACAGAATGTGTCTAAAGGGCAAATGTTTCTCTTCTGTAGCTGAGCAGGTATACATACTTACCAGGTAAGCGTTAGTAAACACACTCTCCCATCTCAAACACACACATATATAAACATAAATTACATAGACATGAAAAGCTGTTTTCATTGATTTAACCTAAACAAATTATTGAATCCAAGCAAAAAAAACAATGGAACCTCACCTGAAACACTGACATCTTACAATTGAAGAATTTCAACTATTGCCAAAGTTTGCCGATAGAAATGTCAGAAATATGAGGAGTTTTTCCACACAAAGTAATTATGGGACAACAGCAAAAGGGATGTTTGTAGTTTTAACAAAAGTGTGTTATTATGATAGTGGAAGAGGTGGGGTCCACATCAAAAAATGTATTTTTTTATTCTCTTAGCAATGTTACATGTCCATATATAAAACATCCTTTTCATCTTATTATTGGCTTTAACACCAGTGAGGTTCCACAGTTTGTAAACAAATTGTACACATATATTTACATATTTTATAACAGTATAATGCATAGCTACTTAACTGTAAAAAAAGGCTGTTTCACCGTTGCACTGATTGAATTACAATATACATCAACAGATATAAATTCACTGAAAAAATGGTCATATTCACTGCTATCTTTTTGTAAAATCAGAATCCAGTTTGTGTTGCTCATATATTACTGATCTAACTTTAGTAAAAATGGTGGTACATTGGGTCAAAAATGTTTGCATTCTTCCATAATTTATGATAATAAAGATTGGTTGAAAATGTATTTAAAATTCAGCTAGTATTCCTGGATCATCTTCTAGGGATTGAACATCATATAATACCATATAGGTTTGATATTCCTAAGCCTTAAGTCCAAACATCAAAGATTAAGTATCTTGAACTGGGGAGAGTAATCACAATTCATTGTCATAACAAGAACATTTTTTACAAAACCAAAAAATTAAGTTTGAATGAGCAAACAAGGTCTTTTGGGTCTAATGAACAGGTTACAGAAACTCAGAAAAACAGAAATTTTTAGATTTTTGTTAACTTTTTTTTGGTGGTGGGGGGATATACATAATGCTCATATTCAAATATCAAATTAATATATTTAGCAAATGATCAACCTGATTACCTCAGCAGGTCCCCCATTTAATCCTAGTGTGCAATCACTGTAGATAATTTTCCCCCAAAAATCCTTTATTTACAAGTTAAGTATACAAAAGATGAAGAAAGATAAACATTATGTAATACAGTTGTGTAAACTTATTAATACCATAGTTATAATTATCTGCCATGTGAACAAACAGAGCAAACTGAACTCGTAACAGATTACATCATATATTTGTAAACAAATATCTGACATCTTCAGACATGATACATACCATCATCAAGACCTCTGGTAGGGAGATTACATGCAGACAATATCTGGTACATTCAATGTCAACAAAAATAAATAAAAAAAATTAGGTCAGAAATAAGTCATCTTGTGATGGAACAGGTTTGTGTTGCTTACTAACTAAAATCATATTGAACAGCATGCAGGTACATTCAAATCAAATATGCAAAATATAGAATGAATTGACACTTCAAGAATCTTTCAACTTTCAAAAATTGAGAAATAAATCCTATTTTTGAACATCTTAATGCCAACAAATACAGAAAACTCATCAAAATAATTCACTTCATAATAACAACATGTTATTTTTCACTTTTCTCTATTTGCAAACATTCAGAGTTTTTAACGTTTTACTGCAACACAGGAATGTGGCCATTATTAACATGTGTAACCTTGTGCAGCATCTCAAGCTACTTCAGAAAAATGCATGTGAGTTTATGTTAACATTAACAGTATAAAAGCTTAACGTGAAATATGCAAGATAAGTAACATTGTTCCAGGGCACTGGATTGTGAACAAGAAGGCAGGCTGAATGTGAAGGACTGAGGAAACTAATGGTTAAAATGACATGGTTGTGAACGAGTGAGAATCACAGGTTGAAAGTGATGGATGCATGTGAAAGACAGAAGCCAGAAAGACAAAATGGAGAAGAATGAGAGGGTAAAAAATGAGTAAACAAAGAAAAGTGTCACCTACTTACTCTCCAAATAAAAATCTAAATTTTTATTCTCAAAAACATCTGGAATATTTAACCAAAAAGTGAAGATATATTCATAAACAGTAAGAATATTCCATTTTATGTTGAAATGAGGACAGAACATAATGCATGAGGACACCAAATATATCAAACCCATGCACACCAGTGAATTCCAGTAAACCATACAGATACAGTAAACCACAGAGTCTGTAACACTCAGAGTATACAGCCAAGAGTTACACAATACCAGCAACTGAAACACAAGTTACACATTTCACAAAAACACAAGCTATATTATAAAATCACTGTCATACAAAGGTTCATCAGCATGAAGGAGAAAATTATTCCCACTGGAAACCAAGCAGAAAAAAATCTTCTCTCAGGCTGATAACACGATGTATCTGCTTCAGTAAAGGTTAATAATTGTATTAACAACACTTACAATGTTACAAATAATACTGCAATGGATTTCCAAGAAATCTGATAAGATTATAAAATTGGGTTGTTCTTAGTATGTGTAGTGATGTTGGATTATTTGATATTTATTTATCTTTGAGGGACATACTGAAACAACCACATGAATATCAGCCAATCAGAAAGACTGTTACAAATAATAGAGGCAGAACATGATATTTCATTGGATATAAGATCAGTAAATTTTATTTTATGTTGTATTTGAATCCTCCGTACACCCTATCAATTAACATTGAGATGAGAACTCCCCTGATAATCATTCCATGAGAATTGGATTGACATCTGTCCCCATATCAACACATTGAGTTGTTAGTTGATCCTCATCCCTACATACTTAATATGTATACTTTTGTTGTGTGAGCCTAATGACAAAGTAAATATCATTTCAAAGTGTTCGATTGAAAACAGTTATAATGTTAACTGGTTCTACCTATAAGTTGACCTTTGACTTTAACGATCTTGTTACAATCGAAGTTTGTTTCATTCCATCTCAGGTAGAAGACATCCAGTTAAGGATTTCTTAAGATTTATTGAATTCTGTCTCATTTTGAACATTTATGACCATCCATCAACAATGTTCTTTTACAATTATTCTAATGAGGGAGGTTTTTAGCAAACTGAAAACGTTCATTGTATTTTAATGTCTTGTAAAAGTCTTGTAAAGGGAAATTTAATGAGAACAGATAATTAGTTTAATGTTTTACGACAGATTTGTAACTGGCGACATATTTTGGCTAATTAAGATAAGTTTATCCATATATGTCAACATGTCAGTTTGAAAAAAAATTTACATCATTACAGTTACCTTTAAGGTGAACTATAAAGCGGTTATACTTGTCAATTACTTAATATTTACTTCCCCACTTGAAATGGAAAATGAATGTAAGGACAAACTTACTCCTTTGTTTAAGTCAATGTTTATAAGTTTAAGTCAATGTTTATAACTGGTTATACTGAAAACATTTTAATGTCTGAACACAATTTTTAATCAATAGCAACTGGAAAATAACACCAGAATTTTCCATTCGAATATGCAGTTATCTCAAATTAATGTGTCTTTTCTACCTTCATAGAAAAAGATTTCTGATATACATATAATGTTAAGTCAGACTTGACAAGCTTGGATTTTCATAAATGATTACAAGCATACTACAAAAAACATATTTTTTCATTTAGCATATAAATAATACAAAAATATAAATTCATTTAAAAATACAGGTACATATTTTGTGTGGAAAAAATTACACAATTTTAATTTGCAACAGTCATATATAAGGGTAAAATATAAATGCATCACAATTATGTATATATATATAGATACAAGTTCTACGCTAAAAGACTCTCGCTACGATGACAAACAGCCACAACAGCATCACCTAACCATCACCACAGAACAACAACACGCATGGCTCGAGTTAGTACGCCTGTACCTGCTCCGCTACGTCGCCCCAAATCCCCGCTATCATGACGACTGTGCCCTGTGAGACTATGAAGTTGTAGCTTCTCTGTGAGTCCATGAAGTTTTTCGGCAAATCCATGATGTTTTTCAGCCCGTTCCAAATGGAATTCGGGGCTGATATGGGTATTGATTGGGGCACACAAGGTTTGGGATGCTGTTACCGCAGCAACATCCTTAACGTGGAAATCCTTACCCACAGTGCCTGTCTGTGGCGACGGTTTCTTCATAAATGACAGGAAGAGATGTTTGCATAGTTCCTCTGGCACTTCTGCATCAAGGTACGTCTCCATGAACAAACTGAAACCCTCGTATCCGATTGGCTGTAAATACAGCAGACATTATCAGACATGCTGTTTCAGCTAGCTCTGTAATTGGCTGATATTTATAGAACATCAAAACATGACCTCCTGTCACACTAACAGACAAATTCAAGATTCTATGCATCAAGTCAGTATGTATTCATAAGAAAATAAGCCAAAATTCCCATACTGAATTCACATTTGAGAGAAATCCAAGGTATGTTTTCACACACATACTATCTTAATAGACAATGAGAGTACTCCCTTTCAACACAGTTAAAACACTTGTCATATTATAACCAGATTCTGTAAACAGTGACAATAACATGCTGTCATAAACAGAAAAAAATCATCAAACACAGTTTCTTTTCATTTACCAAACTGAAGTATCAAATACAATTTTGATGAAAAACTATGATCTCACCCCTTCTGAGTTGTACTTTGACAGCACACCATCTCCGTTGAATTCTTCCAGTACATCTTTCAGTTTACGTGATGAATCTGAAAGCATGAAAAGACAATTCGTATATGCACATGTACATATTGTATTAGTTGCTCGTCATTCAAAAATGCCCAAATGCCAAGTTAAATGATAGTGAAACACAACATTCCCAGGAACCAGAATTCCATGCTCTACTTCAATTTTGGGTTACTGAAATAATTCTGAAGTTTCATGCACAATTAAATAAAAGACAAAATTGTTACAAATTAAAGCCTAAGTCATAATTGATATAAACTGAATATTTTACCATTGAAAAGTCATGTGGCAAGTTGTGAACAAACTAATAGAATCATCAACCAAACAAATATCCTGTTACAAAGTCAATCAGAAAATTTGAGTCATTACTTGTAACAATATAAGATGGGTAGGTACAATAAAAAAGTTTGTGTAATGAGTATAAAACCCCATGAAGTGATTTTTAAGCTGGGTCATCTTGAAGTAGTCGGTGACAATGTCACTGAACAACATGAGGAAGGCTGCCACATCTTTCAAAAGAAATTGGGTTACATTAATAGAATAAGTGTATTCCTAAGGACACAACCATCACATCAGAGAGTGGTCCATGATCGAAAACTCCTGACAAATACTAATTAAATCACCAAGTCTGTAGGGATAGAACTATGCCCCTCACATTTTCATCTGAGGTTTTTTAAGTTCAATGCTCTACCACCTGGGTGATCCTGACCTTTCAGCAGTGGCACCAAATAATCTGGATGTTATCATCTACAATTCCTTCTTATCAGAATATTTATTGTGTTATGTAATGATAATAATTTCACCACATGCCATCCCTGATTAAAGCAAAAACAATTAACAAACATCAGTACAAAAAAACTCTCCAAAATAAACAAAGATAATTTATGTAAATTTTATACACAATTATTTGAGCTAAGCACAAAATATACCAAGAAAGAAACATTTATTTACTTTCGTAAATTTTAAAACATTTATCTAAGTTTACTTAATTTAAGAATCCACTTGATGATGTAACAATAAAGTTCTCCAAAATTAATATTTCTAGTGGAACCAAGGAGATGTAAGTTTCCTGTAGAAGACAAGCTAAACAAATTTCATTCTCAGAGAATAAAGTTGTTGTTTATAATCAGTAGATATTTACAGCTGTGAAGTTTTACATGGCAGGAAATTGGGCACAGTGTAGAAAAGGGAACGAGAAACTGACTCAGGGCAGATTCCACTGAGACTCAGGTCAGAACCAGGATGAAATTGAAGTTTCAAGTACCATAAGAAAAAAGATTTATTGTTAGGGAGGTATGTGGTGTGTTAGATAATGCAGGCTTTTTCATTCTACTGTAAACAATCTAACGCAGTGGAGTCATATTTTAACACTCGGTAATAAGTATATCTTATTACTGTAAATTAAAGGACCAAATCTGTCTCTAAGAAGAAGCATGTTTAAGAGCATATTTTTCAACAGGTAGTACATAGTGTGCTAGCTAAACATACCAGGTATCAGAGTAATATTTTGAAAGGCAATCATATACGTTCTCCAGTTGGCATTCATATTGCCCATGAATGTCAACTAAAAGCAGAGTGTAAATGAGGCCATTGACAGCTACATGTTTTGCAATGTGATGTGTGATTGCTAAAATCAAAATCCTCCGACATAAATTGCATTGGTTTTATATACTTATAACTTCTGTGAATCAGGTAATCAAGCATTTGTATTTCTGAAATACTATCTAGAAAAAAATGTGTGCCTTCGTGAAGACTTTTACTATAAGAATTATGAAAAACTTTTCATTTTTGTAAGTGAACAAAAAAACAGCTTATGTAGTTATTCTTGTGCAAATGCAAAGAGACTGCACTAAAATTCTAGTCTGTACTAATGTTAGTACTTCTAGTGTAAAGTAATACAAACTACACTAAAATTAGTTAAAGCTAAAATGATTATCCTGTATAGTATTGGTAAGATTGTACTTAATTAGGGTACACTAATTTAGATATATAGGAACTGTGTACTATTAGGTACAAGTTAACCGTCTATTTATAATTATACTTTAATTAGTTCATGCCTAAATCGTAGTGCAATGTACTAAAATTAGTATAAGCTAATCAATGTAAATATATTATGTGTACAGTATGAGATTACAATTCTATACCAGAGGGTGCTGGAGGACACATTTAACTGTCTGTAGGTGGGAGTAGGTATTTGGTGCTCAATGTAGCCAGATATCTGTCAACTCGTCCAATAAGATCAAGAGATCCGATTGATGAGTGTCATTTACCACATACACCAGACAAGATGATATCAACCTGCGTAATCCCTATATTCTTGAATGGAATGTCCCAGACTTGGCTTCATTTCTCTAACAGACACAACTATTTTTACTTTATATGAGGGTGTTAGGTTGGTGTCAGAAAATGAAACCAATTCAATAACAGTCTGATGCCAGCATTTATATACATAATATGAACCTATAATTGGATGTTCGAAATTTAATTTCCGACAGGCAAACTAATATTATGAATTCTGCAGCTTTCTGATGAAATTTGCTTCCTGATAAAATTTGTGATTCTCAGCTAAAGTAAATTTAAATTATTTACTGACAATTAAGGGAAACAAACCAAGTTTATTTTGTAAATCTAAGTATTTGTAAAATACATCTTCACCAGGCACATATAAATTGATGTATTAAGTCATTTTATCCCACGCATTACTTGTGTGGGATGTAATAAATGACCTTTAACATTTATGTGTTATGGGTAAGTACATGATCTTATATATAAGATATAACTGTTTTTAATAAATTATAAGATGAAGTGTTGTAGCTTTGAAAAATGCTGAAGTGTCTCAAATAAAAAACATAATTCTTTAATTATTCCATTTTTATCGCTAAATTAAATATTTCTAAGGTTTGAAAATTAAACTGATTTTCTCTGCTTTGATGAGTTAACATGTTTTATCATTGCTACATTGAGATTTCATGCTACATAGTATAATGATTAAACAATATAAATAGCAACTCACATCAGTTGTTGAAAATGTTTACATAAAGTGCATTTTGGTGCAGTGTGATTTCAGTGTGTAAAATGTTTTGAATTCTGACAAAACAAGTTCTGTGTAACTTGTGCAAAACACCCTTTAGTGTCAATCAGTGATAGCTGAACAGTACAAGCTCAGTGTAAAATCAGTTTGTGCATTCAAAAGCTGAACTGCGCAAATTAAGTGGGATACTTTGCTCAAAATTGAAAAAAATTTCATTGTAAGAATAATAAATTCAGACTTCCACAGAAATTCGTGTTTCGAAAGAAAAAGAAAGTTTATCAAAACTTTATACTTTATGTGTTGTAGAAAATTCATTGATGCAAGAAAGTGTATTACATAAATAAAGTAGATGAACTTTGCATGACCATAATGAAATTATCAAGGGATCTGCCTTACATGTAATTACTGAGATAAACTGGGTTCCTGTTTGTCCTAAAGTATTCTTGAACTTATTTTAACCAGTAAATAAATCATCTACACCTTATCCACATCACACGGAACTCTTTCAAAGTGGACAATTTTTCAACCACTTTTTCTGTTGTTAATTCAAAGAATAACTAAAACATTGCACATGAAAATTTTGTCTGACAACTGTTGTTTTCTGAGATGTTGTAATCAAACCATTGACAAAGAGAATACCATGGTTACAAAGGGAGACAACACGAGCACCTGTCTGTGTACATATTATAGGTAAACTCATTGTTACTCATCTACTCATTGTAAATGACGTTGTTATTCTATGTTTTTTTTTACCCATTTTGATGACACAATAATATGTTACTGTTGTTCTGATGACGGATCGCTTGGATCTGAAACATTTAATCAACCCACTCTGCAAATAAAACCTGAATTATGGTTTGGACCATGTTGTCGTCACTTGTTGGGAATATTAGGTAAGTTCCATTTAACCTGACAGAAATCTACTACTATTGTCTTAAATTTAGGAAGAAATCTCACACACTACTATTAAAAATGTTAGTAAGTAGAAAAGATCTCAAGTTAAATGCCACTTGGTAAGTTTGAAACAGACAGAAACATGAAAGAGAATATTTGATTTAAATATTAATTTCTCTGCATCCCAAATATCCATAAGGGTTGATTATAGCTTGCTCCAAAGCATCAGAAATATTCATGGCATCAGATATTGACACTCGGACATCATGAATATCCTGGAGGGTTGATCAAGCTAGCAACACTGAAGCATTAAGAATATTCATGAATATCAGCTAGGAAACCCTAAAACAGGAATATTCATAAGTATCAATTAGCAACAAAAGCATTATGAATATTCATGAAGATCACCTAGCAGCAGCATCTTGATTATTCATGAAGATCAGCTATTTATCATAAAGGTCAACTAGCAGCATTGAAACATCTCTAATATTCATGAAGGAAATGAGGGATATCTTTAATATTTGAGGAATAAATTGAAAGGAAAACAAGTCATTGTTCTAAATGTCTAAAATCTAAAATATCTAACTCTTTTTAGAAATTAAATTGGACTCAAACTAAGTGAAAACAATTCCATTAAGAAAACAATCTCTACTCTCACACCAGTTGGAAAACAGACACCAAACTGATTGTACATGTCATTCTAATTCAAAATAGTTTTTAAATTTCTATTTCGTAGCAGTCACAGTTGGAGGATTGTGTAAACTCAGATAAGAGGGAGATTTGATAGTGTTGAAGGATTGACGTGTCACTGCTGTAAAGCTAAAGATCAAGGAAAACTGCAACAAGATTGGATCTGAGCCCTGCTATACTTGCATGTTTGTCTAACAGTTCTGCTGACAAAGTAAATTGGGGTATGTGCCATTATATCAATCTCTAAATTCTCCTTTATGAGAACAAACATTTACTAGCAATTTTATATAGAGGTCAAAAACCATGTGTTAAGTTTTGTAGATATGAAATAAAATAATTCAACCACTATTGAATTATCATAATTACATGCAAATTTATTCAGGTCAATTTAAGTTATAATAATGATGAATAAAAAAGTTAAGGGGGCCAACTGAAAATCATCAGGATGGCTTATGACAATGATAACACACAGGTCTATAGAATTTTATTAACAGCCATATATAGAAATGGACTTATTACCAGACATGATTTCTTGTCATTTAAACACTGTGGTCACCCTGATATATAGACAATACATGGTCCATGTATTAAAATATATACTGTATTTTGGGAATGGTGAAGAAAGACAAATGTGGTGAACCTCCGGCAAACCACATTTGTCTTTCTGTCCAGAGCCAAAATGCTGTTGATATGAAGACACTGACCACGTCTTCTATTTATCCTGCAATTCTTATTGAAAATCAGACAATCAAAACTTCAACAATTCTGTTGTTCAACTGTTGATTACCTGACATTGACGTTATGCTGAATTTTGCCTGGTGACATCTGCTACAATAATTGCTCTGCGCAGAAATATTGTTCCAAACTTCAATAATATGACAGTGATTTTATGAATTTTTGTAAATAAACTTGTTAATTACAACAAATAAAATCCCTGATTTCAGCATCTATTTATGTTGTTAACCATAATTTTATATTAAATTATAAAAGTAATTCTGTGGAATTAACAAACATGCTAAAATACAGCTATTTTTCATCACTGCCGAATATAGCAAAAATATATGTGGCAGGTGTATTCCAACAATTGTAGCGTCATTTGCAGGATAAAAATGTATAAATCTATTCACCTATTGCACTCTGAATCTCCTAATAATGATCTTTAACTGCCCAAATACTCAAAGCTAAAACCAATGATTTCATTAAACTTTTAATTTCTGTAACAGAAAAATCAGAACGTTATCAATATTATTATCATATTTTGACATAATTGACCCAATCAAGTATACATGCTTTATAAATATATGGTAATTGTAATAATTTCTATGAAGATATGTGGCTTATGAAATGATAGCAAACTTTAACACCCCTGTCTCTCACTTACAGGTCAGATATGAATACAAGGATATTCTTTCCAACCTTATCTGCTATCTTAGAGCTTTGTGTCACAGCAGAACTGAGAGGCATGAAGTATACCAGGCACTCAGAATCCACAGTAATTAAACTGTTATAAGTGATGTCAGTCGGAGATTAAACAGTGATACATCGCTTACCTCCAGGGTTCTCCTTACCTGTTGAAGATTTACAAATCAAATCTCTTTATATCAATTTATAACATGTTGCTTTGTTTCCTTTTGGCACCAATATGTTTACCAACTTCTGACAGAGCAATATCTGTCATGTATTGAAACCAGCGGTAAATATCAGAATTTTCTAAAAACATCATTGTAAGCTGTGTTCAACTCCATTAAAAGTTACCAACTAACAGGATCCTTTGTAATCAGAAAACCTGTACAAACAGAACTTCAACAATGTCCCACATTCTGACATTGTAATGTCTATATTTACCAAATGGAACCTTTGCTATTCTTATCTAAAAAAAAACGTTTTTATGTTGTATAGTGAGACCGTTTGAATTATTTCACTTTAACATATTTTTAAACTTCATAAATCTTCACAATGTTATTTTCATATTTATTACTTTTATTGATATTTAAAAGTGAAATGAAACATATAGAATTAATCTACAATATTTACTCTTAAAATTTAAACAAAATTTAATGTAGGATTAAGTAAAAAATTTGATACTGATATGGCATTCCATTGCCAAATTGCAAAGTTCTTAAAAAAAAACCAACATATTTTCAAAAACTTCAAAGTCATTTAAATATATTGTAAAAATTTTGCATAATTTGATTTTGAGCAAAGTGCTGGTTTTAGTAACTTATTTTCACACACAAAGATATGCTGTGTATGGTTATGTATCACATAGCTGTATAATCATTGTGACCTATGCTCCCTGTAATATACATTATTTGAGGTCAAGGTCAAAATCAAAATCCCTGTATTCTATTTTTAGTACCAATGCTGATAATACATGAAAAACTTGACCTTGATGAACTGTTTAAATATTCATCTTCCCAATTAAAAGTCTTGAGAAGATCTGCAGTTTAATATAATAACACTGAAAATAAATGGCCCATGTAATACTGAATTTCCAATTCTGACGTTGTTGAGAATGTGATGTTATTTTTTGAGAATAATTTTATGTTATGTAAAATTCTTGCACTTTAAATCAAACATTTTACCTATTCCAAATACCTTATAAAATAATATTTGAAATAACAATGACCTTGACCTTCTAATGACCACTCATTCACAAATAAATTCTGGAAATTTCAAAACGTGCCCCTGACCAAGTCTTGACCGACAGTTTCATCCAATTACATATTACAAGTCTTGCATGATGCTTTTCTATGATCTTTTGGGCAAAGTTTGGACAAAAACTACAAGAATTTCAGTACCTGTCCTTATTTTGATTTTTATTAGTTGGAGTGGATGGTAAACACATACAAAAACACAGACAACACTAAATACATACAAATGTATCTTGTTTATGTGTGGTAGCACATATACCTTTCCTTCTTTTAGCTAGATTTTAAAATCAGTCAAGAAATAAAATAAAGCAAAAAATAAACAAAACATGTAAATAAATATGACAACAACATCAAGGAGGACTGGCTTACATTTAAAAAGTTGTCTGCCCCTGCACCAACATGCATATTTGTAACCCACTGAAAAGCATGCTCCATACCAAGGTATCTATTTCTAATTCTGCATGCTCTAATAAAATTTATATCTCCTTGATGAAAAGATGTCACACATCTTCAATGTCTATAAGCATGTCTAATGACGATATCTGCCAGTAACACTGCAAAATTTACTTTAAACATGCAAGAAGATGAATCTACCTTTGTGTAAGCAAAACAAAATGTCACAGTATTGAACAAAAACAGCAGCTTTTTTAATCTATAATCCTAACAAATAACTTTCATCGACCAAAACAAATAAAAATAAGTTAACTTCTCAGAATAAATATCCCTGGAATTGTTATCTTACCCTGATACAGGTCTTGAACCAGATATCTACCCGCTAAGATATCTGACAAATCAATTAAAGAAATTACCTCCCTTGCATTGAAAAGCCACATTGAATTAATTATTTTCCCTTATACAAGTCTTGAACAAGGCACCTACCCTAGAAGATACCTGACACAACAAATAGAAATTACCTCCCTTGAATAAATAAGCAACCCTAAAATGATCGTCTACCCCTGATGCAAGTCTATGATCATGACATATGGCACAAGAAATTATCTCCCTTGTATATGAAAGAAGTTATCTGTCCCTGACAATAATTTTTTCATTGCATGAACACAACAAAACAAATCTGATTATCTCCCTTGACCCTGTGTATTTTTCAAATATTATTTCCTGGCCATTAAAATTTTCAAATTCCAGATTTGATTCTAAATCAATTTTCTGTGTATATCACATCTTAAACTTGAACAGTGTGTAAACATTTTTTTGTAATCGTTTATTTTCTTGCCTTTGATATTATCAATGCATACAATAAAAACATTTTTCAGTTGTACATTTTTTGATAGGTTCTCAGGTGCTACCATTTGAGATTGTATTGTATCCTTTAGATACAATACTAATATGTCAAAAACAGGTAGAAGTTTCTGCTTGCTACTGTTCAACACTTACTTTTAAAAATGACACTCAGAACCATTCATGATCTATCTAAATACCTATCTAAAGTGAATTCACTGAGACAAGCTTACTCATATTCACACAGAGTGGACTGATACTCACACGAGGTGTACTCCTGAAGCTGATGGAATTGAGCAGGACTTAGTTTTTGCCACTGATACGCCATAGCGACATCTGTTGACAGTTTCTCATTATTTCAGGATCACGTCAAAGGGAGATTATCCATTTTCTGCCACTGAAAATAGAAAAAAGACTGTTATCAAATATTTTAAAATGACAGCAAAACAACCTTTCTAGTGTAAAGAATGAAAACATTTGATTTTCTATATCCCTATCTATAAAAATGTTATTAGGGGAAGGAAATTTTAGTGTACTTCAAAACAGCTATCATCTTTTCATTGTTTGCTATTTAATAAAAATGTTTGTACAAAGTATTTCAATTTTAGGAATTACCCACAAATATTCCTAGTGACGTCATGTCATGATTAAACACTTGATACAGATCCTCAGGGTAAATGAACGTCCATGTGAACAAAGCAATAACTTCCAACAATATCAATAGCAGACTCCGAAATCAAATAATAGCACAAATGAAAAAGTGATCGGTAATGTGACAGAGGGATCTGCAATATCACTGAACATGACGGGTGTAAATAGAGCAAATTTGCTCTGTGCTATTTCCATCTTAAGTAATATGAATGATTAGGTTCATATCATTTCTAGCAAACATGTATGGTAAGCAAAGCAATAATGCAGCTTTAATGAGAGACCTTAGCACATAATATGCTGATTCCTGTAAATACTGTAATGTTACTAATAGGTTTGGTCAGGTAACAAGTTCTTGGTGCTGAGAAACAAATTTTTATGATACATATCCAAAGGGCATTCCAAAATGATAATTTCAAATCTATCTCAAGGTATCACAAAAAATAATGACCTCTGTAACACTGACCTAGTGACCTGATGACCTTTACTTTTGGTCACTTGGTTTCTTGCTGAACTCTAAGACAACTTTGCTCCAGGATGTTGCTTAAGAAAGTAATGATTGATAAAAACAACCTTTGACCTCTGTGATCTTGACCTTTAACTATAACTCAAATAGTCAATTTCTTATCAGCATTATCATGTAACATAAGGTGTGTAGTGTATGGTTCAAATTCTACTTCTAGCTACTGCAACCTAATAAACCTTGGTAGAAACCAGTTGAAATATTTATCAGTCAGCAGTCACTCTATAAAAATGAATTTCAAATATTATATAAACATTGTCAGAGCAATCTGATGTTAGGAAACAAAGACAGATTGTCACAGACAGATTATAAAAAAATACCATAAAATGATATGATATAATGAATCAAAAACTTAACTCTGTACACAATCCTGATGCTCTGATGTCAATACTTTCTAGTTGTATTTAATATGTATACATATGAATTTTTCCCAAGTAAGAAACTGAATTTACACGTGTATATTATTTCTTTTATTGTAAGAAGAGCACAATTAAAACTATTTCAGTATTACTCTGTTATGTGACCAAATATAATGAAAAGGACAGCGATTCAGTTTAAACCTTTCTCTTGATTTTTAAATCCTAGCTAAGACATTCTATACATTCAGAAATAGTTGGGATTTATAATGAATTCTCTGGCGACATACTCCAGTTGCTTCATGCATGATAGCAAGACTATGCAAGTTTTTAATACAGCTCACAATTTTATGTTATCACAACACAGATCTAGAAATGTCTTTGTAAATGTACCAAATAAACCATTTTACATTCTATCACAGATTAATCTGCATGTGAAAGCAGCCCGCCAGTCAGTACAATCATACACAGTTTGAAACTATCACTTTTAAAAGATTTCTTGCAGTCTACTTTTCACTTTTTAAATTATCGATAATTGAACACAGGTCATGATCATGTTCGGAATATTAAGTTTCATACATTAACTGCACAAAAATTGTTCAAGTTGTTTGTTTCTTGCATCAAAATTATTGTAGATTTTGAAATCAGAGATTTTTAAAAGCTTTGAATTATACATTCCCAAAATTATAAGTTCTATATCATGAATCCTACCAATTAACTGTCCTTAAACATTTTGGCACAGGTTAATTGATTTGACTACCTAAATTGATTGATTTTATTATTATTTCAAGTTATTGGATAATCCCTATCTAAAAGCTATTTTGTAATAGCTTCACCACAAACACAAAGTCTGGTCACATAACAAAATCTCTGTTCTATAAGTTAAAAGGCCATTTCTGGATTTTATAACAAAAACCTGATTGTCCATAGACTAATCAAACACGTTCTGACATATCTCACAACAATATGTAACTATCTCAAATTAATTTCCCAATAATTAGAATCAGCATTGTTCAACCTTTTTTTACAATGGCTAACTACAATCTATTTCATTGACCTTATTTTTCAACAAAACAGGCTGCTTGTTGGTTACATTTCATAACAATAAGCATCATCCTTTATAACTTATATTACCAAAATAAGCACTCACATTGACACATTATTTTATAGCAATAAGCACTGAGCTTGATAACTTGCTTCACAGCAATTCAGCATCAGTCTTGATAACTTATTTAACAAAAATAAGCACTAACCTTGTTGGAAGGCCTGTCCCTTGGACTTGTTGTTCACAGTTGATAACTTCCTCTATCGATTCATCTTTGAAGTCACAACCTGGAGGACAGAGTGACAACCATCAATGTATTTAACAGTTAACATTGAATGTTTATAATGGCCATCACCACGTTTAATACTGTGCAGCGATGTTGTAGCACAAATTTAAGATATACCAATATGTTCATAAATGTTCTGCAAAAGAGGTACCACTACTGAAGTTGATAAAACTTTCTCTCAGCTAGTTTCACCCTGAAAACTAAAGCTCCGCTTATAGAGATTTAAACATAATAATGTTTTGCACATAGTTATAAACCGTTGGCCTAACAACACATGCTATATTAGTAACCAATATCGACACAAGCCTCCTGATATCAAATTCTCCCCAACTGCTTGTACTTGCATAAAACTCAAGTGACACAAAGAGTGTAAATTTCAATCTCCCACACAAGGTCAAAGGTGAAAAGAATTATACAGTGTTGATATCAGAAGTGAACAATTTCAATGGAAATAGATGTAACTTACACAACTACTTATAATAAAAAATGTATATATCTTACACAACTAGGTATAATGAAAATGGACATATCTTACACAACTAGGTATAATGAAAATGTATATATCTTACACAACTAATAAAAATGTATATATCTTACACAACTAGGTATAATGAAAATGTATATATCTTACACAACTAGGTATAATGAAAATGTATATATCTTACACAACTACGTATAATGAAAATGTATATATCTTACACAACTACGTATAATGAAAATGTATATATCTTACACAACTACGTATAATGAAAATGTATATATCTTACACAACTACGTATAATGAAAATGGATATATCTTACACAACTAGGTATAATGAAAATGGATATATCTTACACAACTAGGTATAATGAAAATGGATATATCTTACACAACTAGGTATAATGAAAATGTATATATCTTACACAACTAGGTATAATGAAAATGTATATATTTTACACAAATAGGTATAATGAAAAGGAAAATGGACATATCTTACACAACTAGGTATAATGAAAATGTATATATCTTACACAAATAGGTATATATCATATCTTACACAACTAGGTATAATGAAAATGTATATATCTTACACAACTAGGTATAATGAAAAGGAAAATGGACATATCTTACACAACTAGGTATAATGAAAATGGATATATCTTACACAACTACGTATAATGAAAATGTATATATCTTACACAACTAGGTATAATAAAAATGGACATATCTTACACAACTAGGTATAATAAAAATGGATATATCTTACACAACTAGGTATAATAAAAATGGATATATCTTACACAACTAGGTAAAATAAAAATGGATATATCTTACACAACTAGGTATAATGAAAATGTATATATCTTACACAACTAGGTATAATGAAAAGGAAAATGGACATATCTTACACAACTAGGTATAATGAAAATGTATATATCTTACACAACTAGGTATAATGAAAATGGACATATCTTACACAACTAGGTATAATATGGATATATCTTACACAACTAGGTATAATAAAAATGGATATATCTTACACAACTAGGTATAATGAAAATGGATATATCTTACACAACTAGGTATAATAAAAATGGACATATCTTACACAACTAGGTATAATAAAAATGGATATATCTTACACAACTAGGTATAATGAAAATGGACATATCTTACACAACTAGGTATAATGAAAATGTATATATCTTACACAACTACGTATAATGAAAATGGACATATCTTACACAACTAGGTATAATAAAAATGGATATATCTTACACAACTAGGTATAATAAAAATGGATATATCTTACACAACTAGGTATAATAAAAATGTATATATCTTACACAACTAGGTATAATGAAAATGGACATATCTTACACAACTAGGTATAATGAAAATGTATATATCTTACACAACTATTTACAAAGATCTAATAGCAGGTATAATAACTGCACCAGTTATATGTTTCTATACTACATCCATAATATAAAAGTGTAACATTTAATGTGTTTTAATGATCAGTCTCTATAGATATAAAACACGTATAAAATGCCCATTCAAAGTCAATGATTAACAGACTATTAATGATGTGATATGTATCTATTGAGTAATATTACAGATGTGATCGTAACTCATTAAACAACTCATTACAAATGTGACTGTAACTCATTAACTCATTACAGATGTGATCGTAACTCAATAAACAGCTCATTACAAATGTGACTGTAACTCATTAACTCATTACAGATGTGATTGTAACTCATTCAACAACTTAATGTTTAAATAAATTTATTTGATATAATTATATTCATTTGTCAGGTTAGTAGAAATTAAAGAAACTCCCTTTGTTTCTATTAAATTTATTTAACTTATTAAGATAAAAGAGATAGAGCTAATGCTGTGTCTTGTACTTGGGTAGGCCAGATGTCCTTCAGTCTTCAGCTGATTCCTATTTATGTCTGCATTCATGCATGCTAATGTATCCCTACATATGCTAGATATTATAAAAGGATGATTTATACACCTGACAGGTAAACATATATTTCATCATTAAACATATACAAATGACAATCGCCATGACGATCATCCTGTAGCTACAGACAAGCCAGATTTACCTAACAGTACAAGGATGTGGTGAAACATTATAAGATCCATTCAAATTTTTTCTTTTTTTTTTCAACTAATACTCAGACTATGCAACAGCCATACATGTAAACAAAATAAGTACAACATATGGTATGCATCGTTTCCATATGTCAAAACAGTCTTGATGACAAATAATCATGTGTATCAGTTTACAATATAGATTTAACAAGAAGCTCAATGGGCCTAAATTGCTCAGCTGTTCTGCAGATTAAAAAGAAGACATTGTCAGTTAATTTCTGCAAACTTGAGAGCCCACTTTTCAGGCATGCTATTATACACCAATAACATTACACAGGGCATTTTGGTGATTGAAAAGTAATTTGCAGTCCCTTCACACCTTTGACTCCTATGACCTTAAAATGGGTCAATGTCAATCAACTGAACAAACTTGGCTACTGGCACAATATAATGATCCAGTGCCTCTTTATCAATGATGAGAAATTTTGCAGATTTTAACAAATCCTTTGGCCCCTGTGACCTTGAACGTTGGTCAATGCATGGGCATTTGTTGGTACTTCTTAAGTTATCAAAGACATGTATGTGCTTATTATTAGACAATGGACTTATTAGCTGACAAATACATTACTTGAACCAATGATTGCTGTTGCACTTAAGTATCTCTTACACACTGTGGAAAAATGAAAGACAGCCAACCATTATTTTTCGATTGCATGATGTGCAGACCAAGACTGGGGTAAAAAAAAATGCCACAACACTCTTTTCCTGTATGTCACATTGTAAAGTTACACTGATACAATCTCTAACCCTCTCACAAATCTATCACCTTCTGACAGATCAATGACATCTATTTCCATACCATGTTTATTTAAACAGCAAAAATTGCACCAACACAAAATACAACCTTTCAGCACACGATTAGGACTATACATGAATGTGAGAACTATCACGTATACACTATATTCATATGTACATTACAGTCATCTGTACACATAGTTGACAATTTCTTCAAATTCAATTCATGTACATGCTTTCACACAATTTCACAAAGGATAAGGGCTGCTTCAGGGACATAATTCTGATCTCCCATTGTTACTTCCCTTCAGTTCACTCTATAGGTGTCAAAAAATAAATCTATAGCAATAAGTCTGACAGCCAAGGAGCTGAGAATACAGTGACAAATAGTATATCTATAGCAATAAGTCTGACAGCCAAGGAGCTGAGAATGCAGTGACAAATTTATTTATCAACAGCATGTATATAACTCTTTTTTTTCCTGAAAAACTGCCAATTTTTAAACATCCGTCTCTAATGAATTCAAACTGTATGCAATGCGTATGATTTTGTTAATCTTTGAAACCAAGTCAATTTTTGCCCCTCTGATCATTTATGTTAAATTTGTACCCTATTCAAATACCTGGTCAGGTTCAATATGACTGACTGTATTTTATGAATGTGAAAAAATATATACTGAACCTAAAAGAGTAATTCTGAATAGGCCACTTCCATAACATAACACCATCAACCCTTGTCTGAATAATACCATAATTGAAATGCATGCTACTGTAATATTGTTACAATTAGTTATTTCAGTAGGACAGCACTATATAATAATGGGTTACCAATTACCTTTATCATATTATAACTGTATTCCATAAGAAAAATCAACTAGCAGCAATGCGGAATTGTCTTCAAAAACCATTTATTAGACTCTGTCAAGTTAATATGTAATAATATGTCTTAGAGTGATAGCATGTCTTCTCACTCTGCCTAAAACTTGAGACTTCAGTTTAAGGAAAATAAAACAAAACAAACTTGCATCATATAGAATGAAAACAACAACCAGTTTTTTAAAAGCTGTTTGGGTATATATTATTCTTTTTTCCACTAGTATACATGTATAACAATTCAACAGGTACTATGTTTATTTTCTCTGGAGGGATCACCCACCATTATTTGGTCTTCATTTGTTCTTTAAAAGTTAAATCTTTTCCATTTTTTCTTTTTTTCTGTCTTTGCTCTTGATTATTTGAAATTTGAAAATTCCTCTCAAGAAATAGTAATAATTATCTTTAATTGTCAAATTTAGTAATGATTATCTTTAATTGTCAAATTTAGTAATGATTATCTTTAATTGTCAAATTTAAGATGGTTGCCTCTTCACCATGATGTTTATTGGATAAGTACTAATATCAAAAGGGATAAGACTTCCCTATGTATGAAATTTGAGACAGATCCATCATGTATTCATCAAAAACTAGTGATAACAATCTGTCATTGTGAAAATCCATGATGATTGCCTATCAGCCATTTCGTTTGTCTCAAAGTTAAAAAGGCACAACAAGGGATCAAGGGCATTAACTGAGGAGGATTAATCCAGCACTTCCCAAGCAAATTGCCATATCAAACTTTCC